GCAGCCCCGCACGTCCCGGAGAGGAGAGAAGCAGGCGTGAAAGCAGCAAAAGCACAGGCTAGAAAGCATGGCGAGCGTGCAAGGCGCCGCCCCTGCCCGTGAGGATAAGCGTGCAAGGAGAAAGCAGAGCAAGAGAGAAGCAGAGAAACAGAATAGGCCAAGGCAGACCAGGCACCAGGCGGGCGTGAAGCAGGGCCAAAGAGACAGCCAGCGCGCGACTCAACAGCAACGAGCCAGCTACCAGGCAAGGGCTGGTGAAGCAATGCTGCGCTGATGGCTGCTGATGGCGGTGACAGCAGAGCCGACCCTCGCATACAAAGGCGAGCGGACACAAGGGCTTCCTTTTGCACAGGCGGTCGTTTCCCCGGGGAGGGGTGCACCGTTCCTGGAGGTACTGCAATACCAGGTCGATGCGTGGAGTGGACGGAGCAAGCTCCTATTCCATCTCCCAGCCCCAAAAATCCATTTAATATATTGTCCTCGGATAGAGGACGTATCAGATATTAAACTGATAAGAACAGATACTACACTTGATCTTAGCCAAAAGGCCGAGAAGCGATGCCGCCCGGCTCCCCCGCACTTCTTGCCGTCCTCCCGCGCTCCACATTTCACGCCCGGTGACAAAAACAACCCTCACTCCGCCTCTCTCGGCCTCTTGCTCCTGCACACCCATGCGCACACCGTCCTACTCGTCCTACTCGGGTGCACGCTTCTCATTTCACGCAGTTTTCCGGGCCAGCTTCTCGCCCCTCTTACGCCCTCCCGGCGTCCCCGGCACTCGGTCCCGCCGCTCATCTGCATGACCCGCCCTTCCTTCCCCGAGGAGGCGTGGCTGCGCCCGCCGACCCCGCCCTCCCGACCGGCTCTGCGCCTGACCGGCGGGGGGCGGGGCGCTGGGAGCCGCTTCCTGCTTGCTGTCCCCGCCCAGTCAGGACAGCCGACCAGACGCCGCGAGACGGGAGGAGGCGGGACGTGGCGGGGGGCGGGGGCGGGCAGGGGGGCCCCGGAGGCGTGCAGAGGGCTCGCCGCGGGAGGGGACGACGTGGGGGGGAGGCTGCAGGGGGGGGGCGTGGCCAGGCGGCGCCAGCGTGCGGGCCTTCCCGCAGAGAAAGCGGGTGGCGAGACACGTGGCGCCACTAGCGCCGCCAACTGTGTGCTCATCCCGGGCCTCCTTCGTTCCTGGGCCCGGCTGGGGAGCGGGTGAACCGAGCGAGGACGGTCCTCCCCTCCCCGCTCGCGGTGCGCTGACTGACTCAGAGGAGAGAGCCCCTGGGGGTGGGGGTGGGGGTGGGGGTGGGGGTGGGGGGGGCACCGTCTCGACTGCGGGCGTGGAGGCAGAAGATCTGGCTGGATAGAGGCGGCAGGACACCCGGTGGCTGCGGGCGCACGCCCTGGGAAGAAGCCCGAGGTCAAGGCCCCGGGGAAGGGGAAGGCGGGGATGGAGTGTCCCTTGGAGAGGGACACCCTCCGGAGTAGCCCTCCTGCCATCCCTCGGCACTCGGGGGTGGGGGCGGGGGTTCAAGCGGCGGGAGGGTCGGCTCCCAAGTTGGACCCCACTCGGGAAATGGAACGCAAGTTAGGAGACCTTGTCCCACACGAGGATGTTTTTTTTCAGTGTGGCTAACTCAAAAGTGTAAACGTGCCCTTATTGTCCACCCCCCGCTGTGGACCGAAACGCAGAGAGACCAGTCAGTTTTCCAGGGTGACACAGCTAAACTGCATCACGGTCCAGGCCCAGACTTCCACCCAAGCAATCCCTCGAAACCCCCTGGCGTCTCGTGGCTTCAGAGCAGACTGGGGAGCACGGGTCGAGTCGAGTACCAGGAATAAGCGAGAGAGGAGTTAGCATTTTCTTAGGCTTGGAGCACAGTGGCCCTCAGATGGAGTCGGGAAGGCCCCCGACAGCCTGCCCAGTCAAGACCCTCCAGGGACCCCAGGGGGAAACCAAAAATGCGGCAGGTGTCTTTGGGCTGTCTGGGACACACACCGGAGCACTATCCAGACAGGATAGTCGAGGGCGGGCACACGGGCCCTGCAGGGGACACTGCGTGAGCACTGGATAGACCAGATCCTGACAGAAAAGAAAAAGAACCAACACATGGATACATATCCATATCCATCCAGCCAGCCAGCCAGCCAGGCATCCATCCATCCATCCAAATATACATACACTCAGATACACACACACACACACACACACACACAGCGCTCAGTTCAGCAGCACATATACTAAAATTGGCATGATACAGACATCAGCCAGGCCCCTGCGCAAGTGAAGCGTCCCATAGTTTTAAAAACCAAACCAAAGAACCAACTGAACTATATACAGTCTCCATGTAAGGCGGGGATCGTGTTCTTCTGTGTCTTCCACAAGGGCCCGGGCCCTTCCACAAGCTCCCTCGTGAGTCCCTTCAGAACCCCTAGGCCAAGAGCTCTGGTTAGGTATCCTACTCAGAACACCCTCCCGGCTAGGCTAGTGGAGGCTCCCTTCCCTTTACTGCGTGCACTTTCTTGCCTTTCTCACTGTGGAAGAAACAGGCTCATACCCTGCCTCCTCCTGCGTTGTCCAGTTTCATTCTTTGTCAGCATGGGACAGGGCTCCAGCGCTCCTCTCACTGCAACACCTCTGGAGGGAAAGAGGTCACTTAGGAAGAAGCTACATGGGGAAACGTCAAGCACTCAGGAATGCCTTCAGTGTGCGCCAGAGAGAGCCAGCTCTCATCTGTCACGTCACGTGTACAGTGTTGTGAAGGGCTCCCCTCACCGCAGCCCACCCCCCCTCCCCTCCGCCCACCCTGGGCCTTCCTAATTTCATGGCCGCTTCGCCCCGCTGGCTTTCCCTGCCTACCGGGGAGCGTCTGGCATGGGGATATAGATACGTGGCCACCTCTTTGCACAGGTTCCGGGGTTTGTTTTCCACCTGTTTGGGGTGGGGGTGGGGGTGGGGGTGGGGGTGGGGGTGGGGTGGGGGTGGGGCGAGGGGTTACCAGAAATGGAACTCGGGACCTCACGCTTCTCGGGGAAGGCGCCCCACCACTGAGTTAAATCCCCGGGCCCTGTTTTCCATCGTGATGAGGTTGTTGGATGCTCTCTCCTCAGCGCCAGTGACATACACACTCTGGCACGTACTTTGTGGCGAGTGTGTATGTGCAGAAGAGCTGAGGGGTCAGATGGGACCACGCGTACTGGGTGCTGAGTCCCCTGAGTCCGCGTGCCCTGACCTCCACCTCCACTCCCCCCACCCCCAGCTCTTGATCTCTGCACTGTGTTTACTGGTGTCCGCCTCCTGCCCATCTGGTTTCCCTGAGCAGGGGCTGTTCTGCAGCGCAGGGCCGAGGGCACCGGTTAGTGGAAAGCAATCTTTGTCCCCCTCTCCCAGGGAACACACATCTTTTCAGGCCGAACTCATCTTTGATCCTCTCTCTGCCTGTGTCTCTGTCTGTCTGTCTGTCTGTCTGTCCGTCCGTCTGTATCTGTGTCTGTGTGTCTGTGTGTCTGTGTGTCTCTCTGCCCTTTCCATCCGTCTTGCAGGTGAGCCACACCAAGAGCTGACCTGCTTTCCCTTGTTTTCAAACGCGGTGAAATCACTTCCTGTTTTTCCCTTTTCGGGCTTCTAAGCTTGGCCACAGAAGCCCAACAAATGTGTCCACGTGAGCCCAGAGCAGGGTAATCTGCAGCCGCTCTGGCCCTCATCTGGCATCCAGTCCACCACCTCTGTGTCAGGATCCCTGGAGGGCCACAGGCACCTCTCGTGGCCGAAGGCACAGGCCTCCCAGACCCTCGTTCCCTGACCTCCTGGGCTGTCTCGGACCTCGGGGTGGGCCCCCCTGGGATTGCAGGTGGGATGGTTGGGGCGGAGTCGCGACGGGATGCTGTGCCTGGTTGTTGGTCCTTAGTTGTGGTATGCCTTAAGCCTGTCATATCCTAGGATGATTGGTACGTATACTTCTTGGTTTCCAAAAATTTAATGTTTAGCTGAAAAAAAGAAAGGTAAACAATGTGAAATAGTTAAGATTCTACATTTATTTTTTTAAATTATTTTTTTTGTTACTGGGATTGAACTCAGGACCTTGAGCTTGCCAGGCTTGGGCTTATGCCACTGAACTGTACTCGTTTTAATGTTCTTTGATAATGTAACCTTTTTTTTTTTTAACCAGGAACTGAGATCTCAACCTTGCGCTTACCACTATTGTAACTATTCTTGAATGTCATTACTTTTTGTAGGCTGTGGTTTATGTGTTGAAAGATTTTATGTATAAAAGGCTTTGTGTCATTTAGAAAATAATGTCAGAGCTATCCTGCTGCCTCTGCCTCCTGAGTGGTGGCATCACAGGTGCAATCACTGATTTGTAGTTTCACTGCTCAGTTATCTTATAATTTGCATGGGCTAACTTCAATTCCTTTGTGTGTAAGCATGTTTTATAGGCTAATGTGGTATACTGTAGAGAAAGCTTTGGGTGCTTCTCCACCGTTCCCCTCTAGTCTCTGCAACTCTTCAGGGTTAACTGCCTCTAGTAGTAAGGTAGGTTTTTTTCTTTTTAATGAAACCTGTTTTACCCATAGTACCCAAGATAAAAACTATAAGCTGATTTACAGGATAATCTAAGGGAAATTTTGTTGGGAAAGTACTTCTGGGGGTACATTTAGATACAAGCTATAACAGTAGGATGACACCTCTCTTCTGTCTTACACGTCACTATCATGGCCACCTTACTGGCATTCCACTGTTCAAATTACCATGTGGTATCTGTGTTACTCCTCAGCGTAATAGCTCCATATATATATTTCAGGCAATAGTTTGTCTTCCCTGTCTACAAGGACTCAGTACCACCAGTATGTATCTCATCCAGGGGCATGACATCCCAATTACCATAGCATTTCACCAGATGACCCACTTTTCAGAGAAGGAGAGGCCAGAGGAGGTACTCAATCACAGAGCCACTGACTGTATCACACTTTATACAGATTCGACTTCATGAATAAAACAAGCTACACATCCATAATTACCATAAGGCTTTACTGATACAAAAGTATTTTTTCATCAAATATGAGATGTATAACTCTAGTTGTAATGATCACCATTATTGACAACTTAGATATATTTTCTCCCATCTTCATAGTAAAACCTTTTGAGAAGTCATGATTTTTCTCATTGTTTTTCATCTAAATCATATCATTTTTTACATACCTATGTTAGAAATAAGAAGGATGATCATTACAGTGCGCTAATCTCCATTCTTTAAAAAAATTAATCTTTAACATGTTAAAAGATGGTGGTTGGGACACAAATGTGCATATATTCGAGGAATTTTTTTTTGCATAGACATAATTGATTACATCACAAAACCAGAAGTGATTTTTTTCCCCACAAAATTATAAACTCTTCTAAAATACACATGTGCTTTCTCAAGATGCTAAGGCACTCTGGAACAAAACACAGTGGCCGATCCTTTGGCTTAGAGCTTGGCTTTCTGCTTAAAAGACTCCTTCATCTTCTTCACAGTGGAAAGATCACCCACTCCCTCAGGCCAGTTGTCATGATCTGTTAAGTGGAAAACGTCATGTCACTCAAAATTCTCTTATTTCCTTTGTCGTTAATTTTCATACAGTTCTCTAGTTATTGTCTCTGATTCACCCATGCAAGAGAAAGAAGGAAATCCTTTGGACAAATGGCAAATGGAAAGGACTTTTTTTTTGGACCTGCCGTAACAGTAGGATTACATCTCTTCTCTTTCTGTCTTACACGTCACTACCATGGCCACCTTACCAGCATTCCACTGTTCAACTTGAATCACTAGCTTTTCCCAGTTTAAGAAGGCTACTCTTCTAAGCCTCAGTCTTCATCTGCTGAAGGGAATAGCTATCTTTTAAAGTTGCAAGAGTTAATTTCTTTTTTTTTTTTTTTTGGTGGTACCGGGGCTCGAACTCACAACCTCACACTTGGCAGGCAGGCGCTTATGCCACTGAGCTAAATCCCCGTCCCAAAGAGTTAATTTCAATTGAGCCTGGCACACTGCAGACATTCGATAAACAGTATTTCTTTAATCCTTCAATATGTAGTGCTCCATTTTTGGAACACCCATAGTAATGGAAAGGAAGATAATGAATTTTTTTCCTCTACAAATTCTTTTTTTTTTTTTTTAAGAGTAGGAAAATTTACTGGGGAAAAACAACTGCTGTTGAGAGACAGTGATATAGGGGAAATGCTAAATGTCAACTATGTAGAATTTGTGTTCCCCAAAATTGAAGAATGAATTTTACGGAATAGAGGTTAAGAGTAGGAAAATTTATTAAAGAAAAGGAATGGGGAATATAATAGCTCCTCAGACAGAGGAGGGGTCCCGAATGAGTTGTCCTCTTCAAATTCTTATTCTTTGACTTTTTCTAGGTAACGTACAAGAATTTCATACGAAAAATAAAAAATTGCAAACTTTGGCATAAATGACTTAATCATTTTTAAATAATTTTCTAACTTTACATCAACTTCTATTACATGCCTCCCACTATACAGCTCCCACTGTGTCTTTCTAAGATCCTCCATTTCTATTAGAGAATCCAAAAACGTCTGGTGAAATGACCCCTCCCGGGTGTGTGAGGAACAGGTGAAGCAGTGTCAGCCAGTGCTCTGCACCACCCCGGCTGCGGGTATTGGGGGAGAACCAGTAATTATATAAGCTGGTCTGAAACAGCAGATCTCAGAATTTTGTAACAAATTCTGGAAAATGATCATTCCCCTCTCCTTACTCTGTGACCACCTGCACACGAGCAAAGAGAAGTGAGTGGCCTTAGGAGCAGCAGGCAGCCAGCTAGCACCAAGGAGAGACGGGCAACCTTGAGAGAAAGTCCATATCATACAGCTGAGGCAGGTGCAGCCAGGTTTGTGTCCAGCCACTATCCAGAGAAAGCATAATCTCAAAGGCCCTTGGCTACTTTCCTTCACAATTTGAATACTTAGTATTGATAAAAACAGTGTTGTATTTTTTTAAAAAGTCATTTCATTGGAGACTTGAGGAAGCAGCTCTCTGAAATTTTCTTTCTCCTTTTATTTATTTATTTTTTGTTTGCTTTTGTTTTTTGGAGACAGGGTCTTGCTATATAGTTCAGACTGGCCATGAACTCACTACATAGCCCAGACTAGCCTCGAACTTAAAGTGAGCCTCCTGCCTCAGCCAACTGAGTGCTAGGATTACAGGTGTTCACCACCGGCAACTGGCTTCTCTCTCTTTTTAAAAGAAAAATAACACAATTTACTATAACAAACTACTGGTTCAGGAGAGTAGGAGAGAGATTCTCTCGTACTCTCTTTTTTAAACTTCTGAAACAGTATTGCATATTCATGTGGATTTTTTTTTGTTTTGTCTTTTTGAGACAGGGTTTCACTATGCAGTTCAGGGGGGCCTCAAATGCAGGGATCCTCCTGCCTCAGCCTCCCTCGTGCTGGGATTATAGGCCTATGCCACCACACTCAGCCATGTGGGAATTTTTGTCCTTCCAATTCAGGTTCTTATAACCATATCAATGTTATTAGTAAAGAAATATGTAAGGAAGGGAAAGAAGTACAATTAAAGTGCTACCCTAATCATTTACTAAAGCATAGAGGATCTCACAACTTGATTAGTTTGTAGCAGAGTAGGCTCAATTTGGATCCCTAATATAAAATTCAGATACACAAGGGTCATTTCAACCATACAGTTATTTAGTAGTAGCCACTTACTGAACTATCATTAGCAAGGGAGGTCAAACAATTTTTATATCATTGTTCTTAGTTTTTTTATTTTTTCTATTTTTTGGCTGATTTAGCATTTTTAGCATAGTTTTTAATTTCTGTGGATCTGTTCTGTCATAAGTAAAATTAAGATGCAGGCATGTTGGAGGTTTTTTTTTTTTTTGCATGTTGGAATTTTTAGGACTCTTCTAACCCCAAAGGACTCCAGTTGAGCTGTGAGATAAGAGAATGCATACAGATACACACATATCATACAAAGAAATACATTTGTGTGTAATATCAACATCTGACGCAAATTTACAGTACTTTTTTTTTTTTTTTTTTTTTTGCCTTTTTCCTTTTTATCGGTACCGGGGATCGAACTCATGACTGCCTGCTTGCAAGGCAGGCGCTTATGCCGCTGAGCTAAATCCCCAGCCCCTTACAGTACATTTTATACATTAAAAAGATTGAGTTTGGCAGTTTCACATTGTTAAACTTAATAAATACCCACAAAAGGTGGCAAAGCACAACCATACTATTCCTCCTAACTTAACAATTCTAGTTTTCTGTTAGGTATGCAAGGCACTTACTGAAGGAAAAAAAAAAAGTGGACTTAAATCTTAAACAAATGGCAACCTCTTGCCCTTTCCTATGCCTCTGCACATATACACTCATCGAGAGATGTTTTTAAAGTTTCAAATTGTAAAAAATTATGCACATAAGTCCTTTCTAAATATATACACTTAAGCTCTGTAATAAATATATTTACGTACTTTCTGTGACTAGAAAAGTTTCCTTCAAAAACCCTAGCATCAAGCTAGGCATTTAGCTCCTAAGGAGCTACATAAGAAATTTTGGATACCTGAACACGGAAGGCACAGGATGGGTGATTACTCATTCTCTGGTTGCTCACCTGGTATGTCATGGTTTTGACAGTATAGCGACTGGCCACCATCCACATTCACCAACTGTCCAGTGATAAAGGAAGCCGCAGGTGACAGCAGAAAGCAAACTAAAGAGGAGACCTGGAAGCAGGAACACACACATGTACACATGTACATGAAAGCAAGAAGTCCTCTCCATTTCTAGGAGCTCCACAAATAAACATATCTGGGATCCTATAGCCGTGATGTGAATCTTAATGCATGCACTATAATCTGACAGCACATTTGACCCTGACTGAAATCTCGAAGCGATCAGAGTAAAGGTGGCAAGATGCAAAAGAGCTTTACACAGTGCCAATGTAAAAGGCCAAAACTGAACAGAAGGCAAAAGGTTTCCCATTTTGAACAGTTCACTTCTTTCTATACCTTCCATCATTCAGTGCAACTGTTTCCATCACTGCTGTGTGCCTTTTATTATTTTTATTCATGAAATAGTCGACAAGTCTGTGTAGCAATACATTGGCATGATGATTTAGCCAGTCTAAGGTCCAGTTGGGCCCAAGCAATACAGATGATAGATTTCTACAAGAGGGACTTGCAGAATCTCACTAAAAACTTCATTATTGATGGGTAGCAACATCTATTGCCAAAATCATATAGAAAGAAAATTTCTTTCATTAACCCTAAAGGAACAGAAGCAGAGTTTTTTGGATGGTGATGATTCTAAATACCTGATCCTTGGTCTTCTCTTAGGAACTTCTCTTAGGAACTGCCACTTAGTAGAAAGCAACCCACTGAACAGGCCAGCCAATGTCTGGCTGGCCTATCTAATGACTCAAGATATAACGTGGCACAGGCTAAACTCTTTTGTGACTCTGCATTTCACTGTAGCTACCATCATTCTGTCCTTCCCTTCCTTTCTGGGCTCTGAAGAAATCACTTGTCAAAGTGTAGCTGGCCAAAGTCTGTGTGTTTCTAAGACCTTTTCAGGGGACTTTTCAAGGTCAAGACTATTTTCATAATAATGCAAAGGTTAACTTATCTCTTTCACTGTACATTTGTACTGTGCCAAAAAAAAATGACAGGAAAAACTTCCCAATCTGTGGCATGAATCAAGACAGGTATACAAAACTGTGCTAGCTGTCATTCATCAGAAGTCCTACATTCTTCACCTGTAAGCACCTGGGGTAAGGAGCAGGTAGCAATTTCCCTTTGTAATGTCCTTGATGAAGTGGCAAAAAGTATTATTTATGTGAACTCTCAACCATGGAGCACACATCTTTTCAATATTCTGTGTGATAAAATAGGAAGTACATTGTCTGAGTTACTTCCTCTCTGCTGAGACACAGCACCCAACACCCAAAACTGTAAGTAGGAAAGGTTTATTTTGGCTCACAGTTTGTAGATGTTTCAGTTCATAGTCTGCAGGCTCCGAGGCAAGGCAGCATGGTAGAGGAGAAAACAATCAAGGCACAGCAGTGAGAAGCAGTCCACACACCTCCTCTGACCTGGCTTTAATTCCCAATATCACATTTAGCTATAAACGCATCAGTGGACTAATCCAATGATGACTATAACACCCCACAATCCAGTCACCTCCCCAAAACGCCACCTGTGAGCGCATGAAGCTTTGGGTAGGCAGGTATCTACGCATAAACTATAACATGAATGCTGTTTCATTGTGTAGAGTACAGTGGTTGTCTCAAGGAAAAAGAATATGGCATTGAATTGTGAACTAACTAGCTACCTTTTCATGAAATAATATTTTTCAGTTGACAGAATGACACTGTGTCTATTCACAATTGTGTGTTTGACAGATTTAAAACAAATGAACACTAAGATGATAATATGTAATCTATTAACAGGTGATTTCTTACTGTTTTTTTTTTTTTTTTTGTAGTTCTGTATTACGTGTTCCCTTATACCGCTTTATTTTGTTTTGTGTTTTTCTCTTTTTCCTTTTAAATAAAATAAAAAAAAACAAAACAAATGAACAATGTGAGATGATCACTTCCAAGAAAATAAACGGCAATATTTGTTATAGATGATAAGATGTAAACTTTGTGGTGAAAATCAGGATTTTGGAAAATCTGCCACCATGAGCTTGCCAGTTTCCTGATACATAAACTTTTGCAGAGGTAGATGGAAGTATTAACAAATGCAATCTTTCGGCAGTGGATAGTTTACTGTGTCAACATTTAGAGGATATGCATAACCATAACTCAGAATTGGTATTTTCCAATGTACCAGTACCTAATATTCCAAAATCACACATGAGTGAAAGATCTAAAGTCTGAAAAAGAGAATATTTTGGGTGTTGGCTATTGTGTCTCAGTAAGTCCATGGTTTCTTAATCCTTAAGAAACTATTGCTTTTTGAGTTCTGAAAAAGAATAGCACAGTTATATGAAAAGGTTAGTAAAATGCGCCTTCAATTTGCAATTAAGGAGCTTCAGAAAGCCAGATTATATACTCTAATCAAAACAACAGATTGCAAGAAACTGAATGGAGAAGCTAAAGTGAGAATTCAGCTGTATAGTATGAAGTTACACATGCCTTGGGATGCTTGCTTCAGCAGTTTGCATACTAAAAAACATGCCTTGGAAAATAGTTATTTTTATTTAAAATGTTATTAATGTTAATGTATAGTATCTGTAGTCTTATTTATAAATGAATTAATAAATATTTCTTACATTTCTATTTTAATTTCTAACATAGTAACTATAGATCACATAATTCATATAAACAAAAAAACTCTATGAGAATAAAAATTAGTCATATGATACCTTTGGTTAAAATCACTTAAAGCTTACATTTGGTTTTCAGAATTAAAATCTAAACATCTCTTTTGTAGTGTTAAATATGATTTAACAATAGTTTATGTTTTGCTTTTTATTTATTTGTTTGTTTCCCAGTCACGAGAGCAACAGAAATGACAGATTCCTAGGGATGGATTCCTAGTATTGGGGTTCACTGCCTCAGAATGACAGGTCACTAAAGTGCCCTCAGGAGAGTTCCATTTAAGCAGCATGGATCAATGGTATTGCGGGAGCTGGACCTTTTGGCCTCTTAGGCTATCCACTCATCAGTGTTTTCCCTTCCACAGACATACACCTTTCTAGTAAAGATCTGAGAATGGGGAGCCAAGATTTGCTTCCACTTTGGAGAGTATATACCTAAAGTTAATGAGCATCTTGTCATAGCCCTGTCTCATATACTAAGGACACTGGATTATAGTTGAGGAACAAATTCTTTTCCAAAAAAAAAATCCAATCAGGTGACAGCCAGTGTTAGCCACTTTTGTCATAACATAGAGCAGCAGGGGTTCTACAATGAAATATAATGTCTTGGAGCTGGGGGTTTAGCTCAACGGCATAAGCGCCTGCCTTGCAAGCAGGCAGTCATGAGTTCGATCCCCGGTACCGATATAAAGGAAAAACTCAAAAAAAGAAAAAAGAAATATAATGTCTTGTGGTCTAGATAAGGCTTAGCCTATAGGCATGACTTTTTTTCCTTTTTTTTGTGACCAAAATCAAATCTTTATTTTTATAACTATGAATATGATCTAAATATGTCTACTACTAGTTTTTCCAAAAGAAATATGCTGGGCCTGGGAATTTAGCTCTGTGGCATAAGCGCCTGCCTTGCAAGTGTATGGTCGTGAGTTCGATTCCCGGTACTGATAAAAAAGAAAAAAGACCAAAAAAAAAAAAAAAACCCAAAACAAAAAACAAAAGAAACGTGCTATAAAAAAACAAATTGCATTTGCTCACTGATGCATATGGACTCCCTGATGTCTCACTGGGCTTAATTACAGGGCACTCACAGTGAGAGATTTCTAGTATAAAGTACAGCACGATGTTAAGCCACTTTAGCTTCTGCACACACGTACTTCTGGCTGATAATGAAGAACAATTTGCAGCATTACACTGTTAGCGAGGTTGCACTATCCTTTTAAATGGCATCGGTATCAATGGTATCATCCTTGACAGACTTCAGTGTCAACTTTTGATATACTGGCAATCTTCAAATAAACCACCTCAGTGTTTTCGTCTTTATCTTCTTCATTACCAGATTTTTCCTCTGCCTCCTTCTACCATTTTAAAAATGGCTCTGTTTTGACACGAATCTCTTTGGCAAGTTCTTTTAAAACATACTTCTTAGAACCTTAGAACTTCTTAGAACCATCCAATCAGCTGATGATGACCACCTCTTCTAAAAGGTCTGCATCATACATCTCCTTCAAGATATGTGGGATCTCAGAGAGGAGCTGAGCTTGATGCATCCCCGCCACGCACTCCAAACCATGAAGAAGGTGCTGCTGAGCTTTTTCTGTTGTTGTGACAGAATCTGAGTAAATGGCGCCTATTATTTGTTAACTTGTTCTCTAGCCTCATTAAAAAGAACTTCAGTCAGAACAGGAGATCATGGCTTTTACATCTACTCTTTCTGCTTTCAGCAATAATTTCTTTGTCAGATGAATCAATGATGGTCTCTTTCATTTTCTTAAAATCAAACAGAACATTCACGTGCTCCTCTATGGTTCTCTCCAAATTGTCACCAAGCACCAGGACTTCGGCGTAGCTGCTGATCTCATCCATCCAGGCCTCAGAGGTGGCCTCTGAACCTCCTCAGTTGAATCCTCTCCCCAGTCGTTGTTCTCTGAGAACAAACTTTTTAATGAATCCATCCAACATGTCTTGCACCTTATTCCCTTCATGAGATCCCTGACAATATAACAGTCATTCTTTACGTCAAACTGAGTCTGTGCTCTCAGCTCACAGTCCAAGTATTTGGGGGATGGATTGCCAGCCAATTAAGCACTTTTGCAACCTCTACCAAGTTGTCTGTATCCCATTTCCTCTGCTCTCAACCTTCGCAATTAGATGGGGCATCTTGTAGCAATACAACTGGCCAGAAACACTGTGGTTGATGCTGGTAGACATTTTGGCTTATTAGTGACTTTATCAATAAATTGAAGAGATCTTTGATTGCTACTTTTTGGTATCTTCTGTCTGGAGAAGAATGGATAACATGAATGATTGAAAGAGTTCTTGGTCTCTGACAGGAAAACATTTTGCCTGAGGCTGTAAGCTTCTTGTTTCTATACTAAGTTTCCCTCATACATGGACCAACGGCTGGGCGACAGCTTGTTTTGGTCAAATAAAGACATAAACCCAAGGCAGCTCGCCCCGACTGGGAGGAAGGGCCACTGGACACTGGGTCTAGAGTGGCAGGGCAGCCAGGCAGGTGCAGCCACCAAGCAGTGGGTAATGTCAGCATCCACACCTGCAGTGCCCAGCCTGGTGACTTGGCAGGACACAACCTAGCAGAAGAGCAGGAGCACAAGGTAAGGTCTGTGTCCCCAATCTCCTCCGTGGACTCCAAAAGCAGAGATTGAGTCTTGTGATATTCCTTGTCACCAGGATAGTCATTCCACACATTTGGTCACATGCTGACAGAATTGTTTGGCTCTTCATATACTATATTTTAAAAGAGTCACATGTGTAAGGTGCATATTCTTCAGGATAGGTAAAATAGTACCAAATATTAAGCTCGTTGTGGCCAAGAGCAATTGTTTTAATCATGTTGCTCCTCTCTATGATTGGGCCTTGCAGTCTTAACTTCTACAAATCCTCCAAAGCCTGGGCTTGTGCTCAGTAGCAAAACTCCAAGTCATACTCACTCATCAGGTTTTTAAATAGAGGCTCCTAAGTGTTCTTGGTCTGTCCTGTTACATGGCCATCATTCCAAGTGTCCTTTCCCTGGAAGGATATGTTACGATTTATATTAGATGTTCCCCTAAAGTCTCATGTGACCTTAGGTGGGACCTTTGGAAGGTGTATGCATTTTAGGGGCATAATAGCTGGCTTGGTGTTGGGAGGTCGGGGCTAGTGAGCAGAGGCAGGTCACTCTTGAGTGTGACCCGCGGGTATGTGTCTCACTCCTCGCTCCTCCCTTTACTCACTGTTTCGGGTCCGGCAGGCCTTGAGCAACTCTCCTCTGCCATACCAGGCCTTGCAGCTGGCTGACCACACCAGGACTGCCACTTCTAACTGTGAGCCAAATTAAACCTCTGCTCTCTTTTAAATTGTGTCTCAGCCCCAAGAAAGTGACTAAGATAGCTTATAAAATTTAATATATAAACACTATCTTTCCATTCAGACCTTTTACTTCTAGAAGCTGACCCCATACACTATCATGCATGATTATATTTAAGGATGTTAACTTCAGGATTATTGCAATCACAAAAGTATAAACAGAAACCAAATGTGCAACAGTAGAGTCTGATCAAATATATTATGGCATATCCATAGGAAGGTGCCAAAACGAACATACAGGAGGATTCTATTTTTGTAAAAAAGCCAACAAATATAAATACTTTACAGTATATATAGTTAATCTGTGGAAAGACATCAAGCATTTGCCAGTTCTGGAAACTGGAACATTTCCTTTTGAGTTTTATGTTTTTGCTTTATAGACATGATAGAGTTAATTTATAGCTAAGAGAACAGATAACTGCCATAAGACTTTTTTTTTTTGTCTTTTTCCTTTTTATCGGTACCGAGGATTGAACTCACGACTGCCTGCTTGCAAGGCAGGCGCTTATGCCACTGAGCTAAACTTCCAGCCCCTGCCATAAGACTTTTACTAAATACTTTATCTTTCCTCACAGTTTTGAAACCTTGTTTTTATCCTATAAATTACCATTTATATGAGATTCTGACTCCAGAATTCAGAGTTCCACTAAGTTTAGTCTATGCCAGGGCCACCACTAGGTGTCAGAAGTGAATACAGCTCTACACTGTCTTGTGCAGCCAAAGATAGCTTCCCTGGCAAACAGCAGAGGTTGTGCTCTGCCCTAGGGAAGGAAGAACGGGAAGCAATGGCTGCTGGGAAATGAGTCTAAGACAGATTTGAAGACCATGAATCACACTGTCAAGGAAAACTTAATTGAGATCATATTCAGAAACATTAATCAATTTCCAGAAACAAACAAGGGTCTACTTGAACATAGATGAACATATATTAGGCTTAATGGTGCTTTCTGTGACCTAACAGTCAGCGTCATTTTGTCAAACCTACATGTAACACAGGCTCATATAGCTGCTGGCTTACCAATGATGGTGATCCCATTTTTGTCAGCAAATCCCTCATACAAGTTTTGTATGTTTACTTCCAAACACATGTGATTCGAACTTTGAAACCTGTACCATGACTGATTGGTTTAGTTTTTGGTGGCTGGTACCCTGCTTTCAGGGCCATACCTATGGATGGTGCCCTAGCAGCCAGGAGTGAATCAACTCTGCTATTAGAGAAAGGAAACATCTTAACATGCTGAATTAGAATTTCCAATTCTGTGTTGTTTTTTTTAGTACTGGGAATCTAACTCAGGACTGGCAGGTAGGCGCTTGTGTCACTAGGCTATGTCCCTGTTCTCCAATTCTAATTCTAATTTTCCACTTTTCTGAAAACAAAGATTTGTTTTTTCAACAGGCACATAACATATATTCTCTACCAAACTTTCATATGTATAAAAAGAAAGGTAATATGCCAAAATGTTTACTATGGATATTCTCTGGATTATAGTTATTGATTTTTCTTTTTATTTCTGATTTCTCAAGTTTCTATAATAAATATGTTTGACTCTTACAACTAAAAAAAAAAATCTATGTTCTGATTATCTGGAAGGGCAAATCCTCTCAGTATTATTTTTCAAAATATTTTTGCATAGATTTGTTTGTTTGTTTGTTTCTGAAACAAGAGTGTTGCTATGTAGTCCAAACAAGCTTTGAATTCACTATGTAGCCTAGGCTTGCCTCATCCTCATGGCAATCCTCCTGCCTCAGCTTCCATAGTGCTGGAATTCAGGTGTGTGCCACTATGCCCAGCAAATTTTTGCACAGGTACTTTTCTAAAAAAACTTTAAAACTACTATGTTAATTTTTAAAAATTATTCAATTTATAGATTTAGAGAAACTTGCTTTTCAATAAAATTGATTTTCTCCACTAATAAACATGACATGTCTCTATTTATTCTGATCTTTTTTTAATTCTTCAGTAAAAAGTTGTTTTTGATTTTTATTGGAGCTAAGTTTGTTCCTAGATATTTTAGATTTTATTATTATTGTGGAAAAGATACCCCTTTAAAATTATACCCTTGACTATTTCTATTGCTGGCATTTGAGAAAACTATTAATATTTACATATTTACATATTTCCATTGGGCAAACCATCTGACTTGCTTAGGGGCCTGTCTACCAACAAGTTATCTTGTGATAAAATAATGTAGCTGAAAAGCAAAATAAAACAATAAAGCCTTCTGCTGTTCTGAATTCTCACTGCACTCACTCCTGTGATAAGGCTGCTACCAGTGATCAAAGAACCACCATGATATTCCCAAGAGCCAGAAAGCCCAGGAGAATGTTTTGGTGGCAGCGGGAGAAACAACCTTAATCAGCTACCAGATTCCTGAAAAGTGCTCAAAATGTTACAAATCTCCAAGGCTTAAAATGTGATCATTGTAATCAATTCTAGAAGTGTACAGTACCTCCTCAGGAACGCCCAACCGTTTAGCTGGGATTTTCTGAAAGGCATCTGCAAAAAGGGTTTTTCCCATATCGCCGTAGTTGTCCATAGCAGTCTGGGAATAAACTGTTCCCTATTTTAAAAAACAAAAACAGAAGACAAAGTATAAAAACTCAAAGTTTAACTATAAATACACCAAGGCAATTCACCAAACAGTACCAAAAATTAAATGGTTTAATTCTAACAGCAATACTAACATTTCCAACATTAACTTTCCTCAATACTGTCAGAGGTGTACAGTCAACTACGATCCACACGGGGGTCATCTAAATGCTCATTTTGTGACTGCCTCTTTCTCATTAACCAGCCAAATTCTAGATGTTTTGGGCATTTTCATGAAAGACTTGGTTTCTAAACATCAGCTTACCTGGGAATAACCAGTCCACTAGGTATCTGAGTTTAGAAGGGGGAGAGAACTGACCAAGGACTTAGAAATGCAATATTTCTCATCCATAGTGAAATCACATGTAAAACAAGTGAACTCACTCTAAAACATTGGCTTTTAATTGCTTAATAATACTTTTTCATAATACACATATGGTAGAACACACTTACAATCTCAGCACCTGGCAGGCTGAGACAGGAGGATCATAAATTTGAGCCAGTCTGAGCTATCTGGCATGTCCAAGGCTGGCCTGGACCACATACAAAGCAAAACTGTCATAAAACAAAACAAAACATCTTTCACTTATTTTGCCCTCTCTTGTAAGGGCTTATACAGCCACAAAAATTACTTAACTGTCTGACACAGAATGAAGCTATCTGTAATTGACTCTGAATAGGCGTAATGAGGAGACAGGAAGAAAAAGGAGTAAAAGTCAAATGAAGAAACCTGTTTGTATTAAACTGCCCTTAAGGACACTAGAGAGATATACTGGTTTCCAAATAAACAGTTGGTGCATGTGTTATTTAAAGAGGATGAATTCTTTTGGAAGTATTAAAAATGTAAACAGGAAACCTCACAAAATCTCTTGAACAAACATGAATTTGTATCATGTTTATCAGAGTGACACATCATTAAAGGTTTAAAAAACACTTTGGGAGACCAGAATTCCAAAGTACCTACATTAAAAAGGACCTGTAATTAAATTGTCTTAAATATCTGGGTATTATATAGGTAAGCTAATGTACAATAGAAGGCTAAAGATACATGAAGTTTCTGGGTAGGAAACTGAGATATTTTTAAAGAGGAGATTGCTCTGCGAACTTCAGCCAGTCAGGTGCTGCTTGGCTCCCCTGTGTAGTGTGGATCATACATCTGGACATCTGGAGCCATTAAATAGCTAAATCTACACATACTATACAAAATTTTTTATAATTTCAGATAGAAAGATTATTGTAATCTAAACAATAACAGAGAACATCACTGAAAAAGTTGTAAAGCGTAAGTAATTTCATCTCACGTTTCTCTTGGAACATGTGGCCAGTATGTATTATCAAGGAGGCCAATGTTGTAGTTTATTTCACAAAAATGAGTTTTCCAAGTTGAACATATTGTGATTTTCCCCTTATTTTACATTATTATTCAGTGAATTTTTACTTTGACTCTGGTTAATCTTTAGTAGGTAGTTCCTTTCCAGAACACTGATATTCAGGTTCTCTCTTAAAAAGGGATTAAGGATAGAGCAAGAAACAACAAACTGACACAGAGCAATTGCTCTTTCACTGTGTCACTGAGATGTCTAGGCTGCTTTTTAAAATACAAATTCCTGCATCCCGATTTGGAGTGAAGCTCATATCACAATTGTTTTAACCAGTTCACATATCACATTAGTATATAGCCAGCATTGAGAATCATTAGTTTAATTTAACCTTCCTGAAAATCTGTCAAAGAATACTTGCACCATGCAGATTGGACTTTCTAGTTTAATTTATTTATTAAAGCCAATCTTTCATACTATACTTGCATATTGAAGCTGCTAGTATATTCTACACAGAACAATGACTTACAGGAGCAACACAGTTGATTCTTATTCCACTTCTGGCCCAGCCCAGAGCCAGGGACTTGGTGAGATTGTAAACACCTCCCCTTGCAGCTCCACTGTGACTTCAAAGCAAAATACAAACAGACAATTAGCTTCCGTTGAACTGGGCCTTTCAATGTTAAAACCTAACCACAGCTTTCTGATCTCACACTGCATAGGTAAAGTCCCCTAAGTCACCAGTGCATAAAGGAATATGCTGATGAACTTTTTATGACAGAAGAAAACAAATTGATAATTTTAAGCGTTACTAGTGAGTGGTTATTATATCAATTTTAAATAAATGATATGAAATTCATATATCTGCTTAGAAAAATGATAGCATTTCTATTTTTTTTTTTTTTTTTTTGGTACCAGGGAATTGAACTCATGACCTTGTACTTGCCAGGCAGGCGCTTATGCCACTGAGCTAAATCCCTGGCCATAATAGCATTTCTAAATGTATCAAAATCTAAATAAACATGACTGCCCTTCTGGGTAGGAGGTTCAAAATATTTAGGTGTGCATCTGTATGCAGAAGATAAAGAGATACAATAATCCAGAATTTCTAAATATCCTATAGTAGACAATCCTAAGAACCAAAGGGAAGATGATTTAATGTGGAAAAATTAGCTTCCAAAGCTAATTAGGAAATTTCTTCATCCAAGGGTATCTGAAATCAGCTGGGGAGAAGACAAAGCAGTAAATGTTGAAGAATTTCCTGTAACATTAGTTAGGGTCTGCTGGTGATAATTTATCTCTGATGGAGAATACGTGAAAAAAAACCTTATTCCACTTTTTATTTTCCCCTGAAAGACATTTTACTGGGCAAAGAATTCTGGTTGGTGTGGTTTTCCCTTGCATCCCATAACCTCCTAATCTGTATTGTTTTTGATAAGAAGTTTACTTCTGTGCAGAGTAGACTTTTCCCTTCAGTTACTTTTAACAGCTTCTTCTCCCACTGGTTTTGAGCAATATGACTCTGATGAACTGTGTGCAGTTTCTTCATGTTCTTGTGCTTAGGGTTTATTGAACTTCTTGAAGAAGTTTTGGCAAAATGGCCTTTAAAAAATGTTTTTCTGCCCCTGCTTCTGTTTCCTTCTTTGAAGACTATCTCATGGTTCACTGATGCTCTATACTTTTTGTTTGTTTATCTTCTCACTGATTCACTTTCGGATAGATTCTGTTGCTATATCTTCAGGTTCACTAATTATTGCCTCTACAGTGTCTAATCTGTCATTAATCCTATCCAGTGCCTTTTTTTCACTGTAGTTTTTGTTTGTAGATACTTGATTTGGGTCTTTAAAAATCTCTTCTATGTTTCTATAGCATGTTTCAGCTTTACTTTAGCTTTTTTTTTTTTTTTTTTTTGCAGTACTGGGGATCGAACTCACAGCCTCATGCTTGCCAGGCAGGCACTTATGCCACTGAGCTAAATCCCCAGCTCTCCTTTAGCTTCTTGAATAGACAGAATATGGTCTTAATTTTCTCAAGGTTCTGAAGGCTCTGCCTTTTTATTTGTCTTTTTGAGACAGGGTCTCGCTACGTAATTCAGGCTGGCCTTGCACTCACATTGTAGTCCAGGCTGGTCTCAAACTTGCAGTGATTCTCCTGTCTCATCAGTCTCCCTGTGCTGGGATTATAAGAGTGTGTGGTGAGGTTTCCCAGTGTGGCTGTTGGGAACAGACACTGAGCTAGAGTGTGCTGGGCACTGTTCCACATAGTTCTTTCTCACACGCCTGTGTTGATCTGATCTCTCTACAGCCGCAGGCTGCTCTTCCATAACAGATCTCTCCTCGGTGTGCCTCTTGGAGCTTTTCTGACCCTCTTCTGGTTCTTGCTCTTGACACAGGGAGATTGCCAGTCTGTGCTTCAGCTGCCCTGCTCTGCGTCATGATCCAGAAATGTTCTTTTGGCTATAAACTGGCCTAAACATACAGCTTACCTTGTTTGTTTCGTGTGTTTAAGAGGCAACTCTGCTTTGCTGCCCAGCATCTAGTATCTCAAATGTCATCACTTCATATATTTTGTCTGTTTTATAGCTGTTTTGGGTAAAAGCACAAATCCTGTCCTTGTGATGCCACCTTGCTGTGAAGCAGCTCTTAATACATGTTGCTTAAAAATTGGTTCCTATATTAATGCTAGGTTAAAAAGGAAGTAGGATGTTTAACATATTCCATGTTTGTTTTTTAAAAAACATATAAATATTCTTATACATGTGTACCACTTCTTTTATTTGTCTATCTGACTTGAAAAAAATGTTTTGAGACAGAGTCTCACTGTTAGTTCAGGCTGGCCATGAACTCACTGTGTAAGCCAGGCAGGCCATGAGGCAATCCTCTTCCCTCAGCCTCCCGAGTGCTGGGACTACAGGCGTGTGCCACTGATGCCTGGCCTGAAAATTTTACCTTAAGAGATTAAGATATGCTAGAATGTGTTAGGCACAAAAATGAAACTTCTACTTTTTTGCATGTCTGTATTGCCTTTGTTGAAAACATGTAACATTGAAAAATAAACAAAAATATCCACCAGACTAAACCCTCTTTGAATTAGAGATTATCTTCAAGTGACATATTAGAAGTTCTTTTTTCCAGTTTTAAAAATTACCACTATTTTCTGTCTGGTTTCAAATGAATATGCTATTCATGTAATATTTTCTCAGTTCCTTATATCTTAGGGTATAAAGCTTTCCCTACTGCCTTCTATGCAATCTACTCTGGCTTCCTAAAAAAAAATCTAAGAGATTAGAATTTATAAAAGATCCTAAGAAATTGTTGAAAACTATGTTTTAAAAAATTACATTTCTCAATTGCTACACATGATATTCAAAAGATTTCTCATAGGTTGGTGTTTTTCCTGCTGGGGTATTTCAGAGAACTGTTAGAGCATTATGAAAGAACTAAGCCAGTATGTTAAACAGGTATTTTACATCTCTTATAAAAAAGCATTCATTTTCATGTAAAACCTATCAAAATCAGAATGAGCCATATATATTATATTCCATTAAGTTGAACTTGAAGAGAGTATTCAAATTCTTCTGTTGCAGATCTTATAAAATATTCACTAACTGACAGACACATTTTAATTATTTGCAGATACCAGATGTAAAAAAAAAAAAAAAAGACAGAACTAAAGCAGGTGCCTAAATGTTTTCGCCAAAATAAATAGATGATGCTCCCCAAGTTACCACTTCCTTGATCCTCACTGCTCTTCATTTTTTCTTTATAATACCTATTTTAACATAAAAATCTTGCTACTCAGCTTTTCACTACTTTATATAACAAGTACTCAGATAACCAACTTATAAAGACAAAGGGTTTATTCTGGCTCACAGTTTTTGACGATTCACTCCATGATTACGTGGCCCCCTTATTTTCTGCCAAACTACTTTTCTCAAGGTCAGGAAACAAAAGAAGCAGAAGAGAGGAAGAAAACATTAGATTCTCAAAACCCTTTACAGGGCATACCCTTGCCTGTATTCTTTACTCTGTTTTTGGTAAAACACGATTTTCACTTGAGGAAATTGGTAAGATTTTGGTACGATAGAGAGACAAAGGAGAAACATGGCCTTTGTTGCAGGAATAGGAGGGCTGCAGAAGAGAGCAAACACCCTCAGGTGTGAAAAATTCTGGCTGGGCAAAGGGTTTGAGAGATAGGCAAAATGACATATCACCAGCTGATCTGAAGGGGCATCTCTGTGTGTGCAAAACAGGAAACAGAAAGACTTATAGGGGGCTGGGAGTGAAGCGCTTTGTGGAGTCTTGGGATTGGAGAAGACTTGGAGCACATGACAAAAGGGAGCAGGAGGTTTATTTCTGGAACTAGCAGGAGAACACAGAAGTTACTCTTAGAGAGATAAGTTGCTTCTCTGGGCCCAGTATCAAGTTGGGCAGATGTCATGTGAGAGATAGCTAAACCCCAGGCTGACAGAGCCTACCAGAAATCTCAGTCCCACATTTGAGGAGCATTGTTCCTCAGGCTGGTTATGCACTGCAGAGCCACAGCATCTCCACAGAATTTGTTTGTTGACTGTACACTTGCCTCAAGCAGGGTCATTAATGAGTATCCTCCCTGGAAACTGCTGGTGCTGGCATTATCACTGTTATTTTTCAGGCACTGTTTGAAAAGTTCTCTCAAATTTTACAGTAATCAGGTAGAACTAGGGTCACTGACCTCTACCTTGCAGTACTCTCATTTGGCCATGTGTACAGAGAACCTGTCTGAGAAGAAACCGGTCTGAGACAAAACCAGGTTCTGCCACCATGGTGTCTAAGCCCACCATTCCCTGATCCAGTGTTCTGCCTGGACCAGCACCACTGGGGACTTGGGCACACAGCTCTGGGCCTTGCTCCCACAGCTCCTGATGCAGGAAACCTGGGGTGCTGGAGTACAAACAGTTCTGAGAGGATCTCTGAAGGCTTTCTGGTCTAGAACCCAGACTTGGAGAATTACTGATCTCAATTTTTGAGCCAGATTAACATTTTTTTCCATCTCATATAATCCAGGGAGTCCTGTAATACAGGAAGCAAGCAGATTGTTGGAATTTGTATAAAGAAGCAAGCACTCTACTTGTAGAGTGGTTCATTAGAAGTACTGTTGGTAAATAATTCTGCCTCTCTGTTGAAAGTAACAATTTTGCATCCCCTCTGAGATCAAACAGTTGTATTAACAGTAGTTGCCTAAATTAACACAGATTTTATTCATGTCCACTGAACCTTAACAAAGGAGCTCTATCCCAGTGGCGATAGTCAGTTTAGTAACATTCAGATTAGAGTTGCCAGAAGAAATACAGAAATATATATGAATTTGAGGTAAACAAGAAATAACTTTCTAGCACTAGCATCCTTCACACAATATCCCGCATATATTTATACTAAAAAATTACATCTCTGGGTACTCTGTGTCTTGTCACTTTTCTTACTAAACATGGTGATCGTACTCTGACTGATTTAAGACTATCTGGCATGTTTTAGAAGGACATTTTTTACCATTCAAATAAAGGAAATGCTAAGTGTTGAGATCCCAACTCATTAAAGACATTAATCCTATTGATTTAAGCAATTTTTCCTATATCCTTCACTTTATTCAGAGACAAAATTCAGAAACATAGGAAGGAAAGACATAGGAAGGAAAAAAAAACTGCTTACGCCACAAATGGTTGTCCATTAAGAAGGATAATGATATTAACAATAGCTCCTCCATGCTCTTTCATCCAGGAATTATAAGCTACAAAATACAAATAAAAATCATGCTAAACAGTCTGCTTTCCTAATATCCTGTTCCAGTAGCTGTCTATATGTTGTGCTTTACTTTTTTTTTTTAATCGGTACCAGGGATCAAACTAACGACTGCCTGCTTGCAAGGCAGGTGTTTAGGCCCACTGAGCTAAATCCCTAGCCCCGTGCTTTACTTTTTAATTTACCTTTTTTTCCCAATACTTGGGCTTGAATGCAGGGAGTACTGACCTATATCTTAGTTTTTCTAATTTGTTTGATTTGAGATAGCCTCATTAAGTTTTCCAGGTTGGGTTCAAACTTTGCAATCCTTCTGTCTTTGGCTCCTGAGCAGTTGGTACTACAGGAATGTGCCACCATGGCTGGCTCAATTTATATTTCTTTTTTATGAAAAGCCAGATATCACAAAATTATACATCACAAAACTCAGACATCACTTGTTTTTCTGTTTCTGTAGATTTTGCATTTCACTTTTAGGTACATTTTATGTAAACTGAAACATATAGTGGTCTTTTGTGTCTGACATCTTCCACTTAGAATAATACATGGGAGGCTCCCCCATAATGTGTCAACAGTTCCTTTTTACTGCTCAGTGTACCTGGAGGGATATGACATATTCTGTTTATTCATTCACTGCTGACAAACTTGGAAAAGAATGAAGGGATCTAGATTGTTAACTCAGTCTCCTGTGAGATTTTGTCTCCACAAACACAAACTAAGGCCATCGAGGGTTGTCAGTCCTAGGGAAAAACAGTGGCCTGGCAGCACCACCACAAGGAAAGCCCATGCTATTGTGAGCTGCAAATAGATAGTGCGGTTTTGCTCTGAAAATGCTTCTTCCACATGGCAGGCTAGCTTTGGAGATGAAATCTACTGTAGTACCTGCCCTATTTTGGAGTGATATTATCAGGAGCCATTTTTGATATGGGCTTTATTAAGACTAAGGTATCCCAGGAATCAGAAATCACAGAGCCACTACACTTCAGGGTCTCTGGGGTCATAGTGACTTGATGGGAGACAGCCACAAGAGACAGACATAGAGAAGGAGTGGGCTAGTTGTAGATCCTTTGAGAAGTTTAAACCTCAGTGAGCTCAGGTTGTAAAAGACACAGCAGTCCTACCCTCTGTGGTGAGAAGTCAAGCAAGTGGTGTAGTTTTCTAAGAGGGCTGGATCTGAAAACGCTGACATTAAGTCCCTCGGTCTGCTTCGTCCCCCTCTATGCCTACTTCAGGTGCTGAGCTCAGCACTCTGTTTTCTCATCTACCACTTGGTCAGGGATTCATCTTGGCTTAGCTAATTCCACATTCTGGGTTGCACGCTCAGAGGGCCCTCTAGAGCAAGGGAGCTCCCACAGGCCCTAAAACTAGTAAGAGATAATAGTTATTGGGGTACAAACAATGGAAGCTGCCAGAGTGATTGTAGCCTTTAAGTAGATAACATACCACTGACTGAATACACCCATTGGGAAGTGCAGGGCAGGACACAGCATTCACACAGCGAAGGGTGGTGTGGGAACAAAACAGGGGAATAAGCACCAAACATAAGCAAACCAAAGGACAAATCACCGGGAGACAGAAACTAACCAAAGAGATCTCAACAATAATGACACAGTTTCTCTACCCTGTCTCCAACCCACCCCAAAACAACAGAAACATGAGAAAACAAGGAAACAAAATGCTCTGTAATTACATCCCTGGGCTCCCCCCTAAAACTGATTTTAGACACTGAGGAATAGAAAGCTATATCCAAAACCAAATGGTCAAAAAGTTGGAGGAGATCACAGATGAAACGAGCATACTATATTTAACAAGCTCAAAGAGGTTTTAATCAGACAAAGGATATTATCAATAAAATATTCCATAAAGTTTTTTTTGGTCTTTTTCCTTTTTATCGGTACTGGGGATCAAACTCATGACTGCCTGCTTGCAAGGCAGGCACTTATGCCGCTGAGCTAAATCCCCAGCCCCAAATATTCCATAAAGCAGAAAGAAACAAAAAGCTGAGTTAAACAAGATAGTACAAGGTACAAATGATCACTTCCGAAAAGAATCAGAAAATATGATAAGAAAGCAAGCGGAAATATATGACATGAAAAAGTCATTGGGAAGTGTGGGTAGCAGACTTTACCCATATGAAAACAATATCAGAAACAATGGCAAGGAGTATACAGTAGCTCCTAAACTCAGCGATACCCTACAATGACAAGACACCATGCAAGCTGGATCCAACAGATGCTCAGTGACTGAAAAGAAACCAACAATCAGCACAGGCTATGTGGAAGCAGAGCCTAGTATGCTCTAAGTTTCATCTCCAGCATTAAATAAAATGAGAGAAGCAAGGAAAACCAAGACAGACCAAGAGATGAGGCGCTCCTGCCCCAGCATGCAGCTCAGACAAGATCACATAAGGACACCTGCTGGGGAAGCACAGCTGATGTTGGGTGGGGCCTGGTGCGCCCTCTCCTCCACCCTCACTCAGTGCATGGCCCTGGCCTGCCTGGCATGGCTGGCTTCCCTGAAAAGTGTCCAGCTGGCTCTAGCCGAAGGGAAGAAGGGAGGAAGGGAGGAAGAGAGGAAGGGTGTCAAAAATAGAAACAAAAATGAAACAAACAAACAAAAAAAAGATTTAATATTTTCCCTGTTGGGTTTGGATTATGCTTTGGTCTCACTGGTTTCTGTGTTCCTATTCCTGCCTTTTGGAAAGGAACTTCTACCCTGCGCCTTTGTATGTCAGCAGTATTTAACAACGCCTCCACCAAGGGGCTCAGAGCTAACAGTTTCAGAGGTGACTTTGGACTTGGATTTCTCAATAATGATGAAACTATTGACTTTGGCAACTTTTAGAGAACAACTAAATGCATTTTTGCTTATGATGCACATGAATCTTTTGGGGGTCAGAGGTACAGTATTATGGCTTATGTCCCCTGAGGGTCTAATGCAATAATAGGTGGGACTTTGGGGAGGTGATGGACTATGGGGATTATAGCTGGTTTGCTGGGGTTTGGGCAGAAGTTTATCACTGTGGGCACGATACAGAGGGAAAATGTGCTTTCCTGGCTCCTCCTTTGACTCTCTGCTTCCTGTCTGCTATGCCTCTATGCTATGCTGCCCTACCTTGGAGTCAGCGAACTTTAAGTCTAAAACATAAGCTGAAATAAACACTTCTCATGTGGGTGTTGGGTATTGTCTCTTAGGGATAAGAAAATAAATAAGACAGTGTTCCTGATAATCTCTTTCTGCATTCTCTATAGTCTCTCAGTGCAGACATGAAGATTTGGTTAGTATTATGATGCTCACCTGCTTTGCACATGTAGAAGGTGCCCGTCAGGTTGGTTTCAATCACAGCATGCCATCCCTTTGAACTGATGTGTTCAGGAGAAGACCAGAACTGGCCTCCACCATTGTTTACCAAGAAATCAATCTTACCATAAAGAGCTAAGGTAGATTTCATCAAATTATTCACCTAAAAAAAATTAAATGTTTAATAACCTAACTAACTACATAGACCTATTACATGTTCTATCAGGGTGCCCAGAGCTTGCAGTCTCTCATAGGGAACAGTAACTCCTAGTATTATAACTATGAATATGAAGTCAGCATGAATAAGCCTAAAAAACTTACACTGACAAGTAATTTCCCAGTATTACCCACTTGTCATAAGGTTAAAAGCTGTACTTTTAATGACATGTTACACCCAAGAGTCTGGAACACTTCTAAGTATGGTAGGCTCTGGACATACTAATTTGTAATTACTAACCTCAAATAATGGATAGTGATGAAATCAGGTCAAAATGTCTTATAGGGCAAAAGACACAGAAGGAAGTTTCTAGCTGAGACCTTGTCCTTGCTTGGCACCTCTCTCTCCCTTCCCTGTCCTGAGGCCACTGATTCATTACATCATTAGCATAACAGTCTGCTTATAAGCTCTGTTTCCAGTGATCTTCTTTTGGGACAGCTACTCCAAGAGAACTGAAGGCCCAGCAGGATCCATAAGTGAGCTTGGGTAGTAAAAGGTATAGCTATCTGTATATTACCTCCTCTTCTTTCCGGATGTTGCACTGTATGGGAGTGACTTCAGCCTTGTTGCTGGGAGGCAGAGTGGCTTTCAGTTCTTCTGCAGCAGCTCTTAGTCTGTCAAATTTACGGGATGCAATGACCACATTACACCCTGTGAAGCAAAAAGCCAGAAATCAAGGAACTATCTTTCAAGAACTGTGCAAATTCCAAAAATAATAAAATATAGAGAGTATTTTGTGCATTTCTGTATTCAGATTGCTCTTGATAACTTTTTTGCATAGAAATAAACCATTTTAATATTTAATATTGATAACACTTTAAGCTAGTGTAGTGAAGATATTATTTTACTATTTTTAAATTTTATTTTCACTTGATAAATAATTGCACATCTTTAGAGGTAAAATATGGTATTTTAATACATGTATACACTGTGGAATGATCCAATCAAGCTATGTAAAATACCTGAGCTTCCATACTTATCATTTTTTCTAGTAAGAATATTCAAAATCCACTTTTTTGGTAATTTTGTATTGTAAAATAATTACCTTTAATTATAGTCACCATGCTATGTAATAGATCATTAGAACTTATTTCTCTTGTCTAACTAAAACTTTGCACCCTTTTCAGCATTGTGTCCCCAAACAGTTAAACTACTTAGATCTAGTTCTACTAGTTTTTCTTTCATTTTCCTGTACATTTATAACTGACAGTATAAGAATTTTTCTTTCTTTCTTTCTTTCTTTCTTTCTTTTGGTGCCAGGGATCGAACTCAAAACCTTGCATTTGTCAAGCAAGCACTTATGCTGCAGAGCTAAACCCTCAGCCCCAAGAATTTCTAATGCTTTAACAAAAATTATTGGAAATCATGAAACCGTTGTAACTTTCTCCACTGATTACTAAGTTTGCTTTATTCAGTTTCAGTTTGAACAGGTATTGTCCTGTTCTCACAAATGTCATGTACAGAAAGGAGTACCTATAGACTGTGAAATGGACTTTACATTCTTTATAAAGTGGAAGATACACAATGATAGGCCTAATATGTACACTGTAAAACCATAAGCCACATCTTAAAAATAAAGATCCCTTATAAGTAAAAAGACAAAAAAAAGAGACAAAGATAATGGGAAAACTGAAAATAATCATGCACAAGAGAGTGGGAAACAAGAGAAACAGGAACAAAGAACAGGTGAGAGAAATAGAATAAAAAAACTATGATAGATTTACGTTCAACTATACTGAAATTCACATGGCATACATATTGTCTAAACACCCCCATTGAACCATATAATCTATAAGACTGGATGAAAAAGCAACATACATGTACTGCCTACAAGAAACACACTAAGTTAAAGACACACATAGTTTTAAAACTAAAAGAATGAAAAAAGGACATGCCCTGCTAACACCAAGCAAAAGCAAGCTGGAGTGGCTATAATAATGCTGAACAAAGAAAATTTCAGATCATAAAATTTCCTCAGGGATAAACCTAAAAATGGACTATCCGTAGATAGTCAATTGCTCAAGGAGACATACTGATACGGGGTATTTGGTAGTTTCTTAAAAGGTCAAATATTCATGCCTTATATCTGCCAGATGTGCACTGCAGATGTTCAGGCAGCCTCAAAGCAGAGAGGAGGAAGAGCTCACTGCCCCTGAGAAGGCCACTAACCCTCTTCCTGCTCCCTTAGGGTCACTGATCCTTATACATGCTCACATTTCTCTGTCTTTATTCTTATACAGCATTTAACCCTGAGATGTCTCAGATTGAAGTTACCTGTTTACTTAACAGTCCTGGCTGTAGGTGTTATGTTATCACACAGCCCACTCCAACAGTAACATGCTGAAGGCATGTACGAAGTTAATGAAGGCCATCAGGAACTTGACTCTTCATTTGGCTGGAACTATTTTAGTAGTATAGGATGAGCTGGCCACTGCATCTTGAAATAAAGCACTTTTTTTTTTGTCTTTTTCATTTTTTTATTGGTACCAGGGATCGAACTCACGACCACACACTTGCAAGGCAGGCGCTTATGCTGCTGAGCTAAATCCCCAGCCCCTGAAATAAAGCACTTTTAAACCTATTTTTTTTATTCAGGCAAAATGAGTCTTGCAGGCGCTTATGCCGCTGAGCTAAATCCCCAGCCCCTGAAATAAAGCACTTTTAAACCTATTTTTTTTATTCAGGCAAAATGAGTCTTATATAGGCCCAGCCACTCAGGAGGCTGAGGCAGGAAGACTGAGACCAATCTGGGCAACAGAGCAAGACTTTATCTCAAAAAAGAAATGAATACCAAAAAAGCCTCAAAACTTAAGATTTTTAAATTAGAACTATATGCCAAGCGTGGTGGCTCATGCCTATAATCCCAGCACTCAGGAGGCTGAGGCAGGAGGATCATTGCAAGTTTGAGGCCAGCCTAGGCTACAAAGTGAGCTCAAGGCCAGCCTGAACTGCATAGAGAGACCCTGCCTCAAAAAAAAAAAAAAATTAAAAAAATTTTTCAAGTTTAGTTTCAAGTTTTTCAATTTAATAAACTCCAAAATGGTGATAATTGGGGAATTTTAATGGGTAATTTTAACATTTATTTATTTAGTTTTTGAGACAAGTTCTCACTACGTAATTAAGGTTGCCCTTAAACTTACTATGTAGTCCAGGCTGGCCTTGAACTCACAGCAATCCTCCTGCCTCAGCCTCCTGAGAGCTGAGATTACAGGCACATCTCACTATGTCAGGTTTAATCTGAGCATTTTTTAATGCAATCATGAAAAAACATTGCCTTGAATTTTTAACAAGATAAGGCTTACTTCAAAAAATAATTCAATATGCCAAGTATACATATAGTGTTTTTTTTTAAACAAACCTTATTCTTTTGTTGTCAGAATATGTTCATGTAAAAAATATTTGATCTGGGCAAAGGCAAGATGGCACAGACCCCATAATTCAAACTGAAAGGATTTTGCCCCACTTGGGACACTGTAGCCTGTAAAGCCTTGGAGGCAGAACCAAGAGGCTCCATCTTGAGGTCATCTTCCCCACCCCTAGGAATTTACCTGTGGCATAAAATGAATACCAGTGGGCTACCTGTGCATCAGTAATGCCCCTTAGGCTCCACTCCAAACCTAAGCTACATGTATGCCCCCACTCCACGTGTCTGATGGAGAGAATGCCAGCCCCCGGAGGGTCAGGGGGTCTCTCCCCACATTCTTAAAATAAAGATATATTTCATACTTCTTATCTTTTCAGCCATGCCAAAATTCTATCACAAACTACTTGGGAGGCTAAAGCAGAAAGATCATAAACTCAAGGTCAGTTCGGGCACGATGACAAGATTCTATCTCAAAATAAAATTTTTTAAAAGAGCTCTAAACTATATAACTGCATGTATATTAAGTGTATAAGATAGAAAATGATATCACAGAGTTTTATTGGATCATTGAACAGAACTGTTTGCAGTATCATTGATGGAATGTCCACTTTACAAGCTTTAATTTTGTGACTTGAACAATTATTTCTAAGATGACAATATGTAATTCATTAACTAGTGATTTCCTACTGTTCATTTTTTTTTCTGCAAATCTGTATAACTTGTACCCTTTCTCTGCTTTTTTTTCTTTTCTCTTTAAATAAAATTAAAAAAATAAATAAAAAAAAAAAAAAAAAAAAAAGAGCCAGGGCTGTAGCTCAATAGTAGTGTGCTTGTCTCGGTTAAATCCTCAATGCCATGAAAAAAGAAAGAAAAAGAGAATTATTTTTACAAAGATTGCTAACAATGTTATAAACTTTAGTCTCTCTCTTTCTCTGTCTCTCTCTCTTTCTTTTGTCTTTTTGAGACAGGGTATCACCATGCAGTTCAGGTTGGCCTTGAACTCACTTTGTAGCCCAGGCTAGCCTCGAATTCACAGCAATCCCCCTGCCTCAGCCTCCTGAGTGCTGGGATTACAGGCATGTGCCACCACACCCAGCTTCTGGTTCTTTTCTTCATATATATTTTTCATTAACAAAATAAAGCATTTGTTTTAGAATCTCACTTTTCCCAATTATAGGATATGCATTTCTCCACATAAAGTCTTCTGTAACAGGATAGTGAAATGTAAGCCTAATATGTCATTGTTATTTACTTAACTGTTTTCCTCAAAATACTCTCAAAATGGGTATTCAGGCTACTTCCAAGTTTTCCCTACTTAAATAACACTACATCTTTGTGCAGTCAGAGTAACATTCTGAGAAAGGTCATAGAGCGTGAACACAGGATTTTGGATCTTTTTTTCCAACTTGCCCATCAGAAAAGTAATAATTTATATTCCTTCCTGCCCTTTTCATTCTTTTATCTGCACTTAATTTTCCCAATGTTTTCAAATCTGTTATAAAAACAGTATCTTATTTTGCATTTATCGCCAATAAAGTTGACTGCTTTCTTAAAAACTTACTGCCTATATGCAGTTCCTCTTTTGGAATGTTAGCCTATATTTCTATTCGTATCTTAGTTCTTTGATTTATTTGCAAAAGTTCTTTCTGTAACAAGGCCACTTTTCTTATGTTATAGTATTTTTCTTCATATACCATCAAACGTCATTCATATTTTTTAACTCACTGAAGATTTATATCTTCACAGAGATAAATTTAACTATGTTCCCCTTTGTGGCTTCTTTCCTTGTGTGTTTTCAAGCTCCTTCCTCCACCGAGAGAAGTGAATATTCACTCTAGTTTCGTGCTGGTTTTAACACAGGTGTGAGAAGATAAGGTCGGAGTCTGTCCTCTAGGTAAAGAGTCTCCACATGTTTTCTAATTAGTAGGATTACACAGCATTTAGAATGGACTAATTTTTAATAGGCACCTGCAGTTCTGGCGTTTCCCAGCTTAGCATGTTTGGCTGTCAGCCTCTAGACCTTCTACTTAGCTAGCGGCTCACCTCCATTGGCTTCTCTAGGATTTCTGATTTCCTAGAGATCATCTCTCTCTCCCTCCCTGGGTCACTTCTACAGCTCCTTAGCTCCGCACTTTACCTTGCTCTGTGCTCCGCGACTCCCCAGGACGGCAAACCTAGGTGACCACAGCTAGATCTCTGCGGACCCTAGTCCCAGGCCCAAACCTACTCCGTACCCAGGTGCAAGAGCTCCTTGGCGATGGCTTTTCCGATGCCCGTGCCCCCGCCGGTGACAATGGCCGCACGGTTCTGCAGCAAGCCGGGCGCCAGGCAGCTCTGGCACTTTGTCCAAGAGCCCATGGCCGCGAGCTTCCGAGTGCGGAGACAGCTGCGGGTGCAGGTCCCTGGAGGCAGCAGATGTGGGCGGGGCTAAGGGGCCCGCGCCCACGTGACCGGCAGAGCCGCTCTGCCCTTGGCCCCGCCCCCCGAGGCGGCAGCGCAGCGTCCTCCCAGGCTGGACCGCTCTCTGGTGGCCGCCTCTCGCAGTCTGCATCCTCCGTAGGCGTCGGTCCCTGGGCACGTGTGGGTGAGACTCCTCCTTCGTTTTTTTTTTTTTTTTATTTTTAAAATTTTTGATATTATTTGGAGAAAGGGAAAGGGATATGTAAAAAATAAATAATACAAAGCAAAGATTGCTGTATTTTAAAAATTCAATTCTCTGGGCCATAGCTCTCAGGGTTAATTAAAATTAAATCTCTCGTGCATCTGAATAAAGGAAGGCTCTGGCTCCCGGGCCTTGCTGCGCCTGCTGTGTTGGGTTCGGGACTATGTTTGGGCCCCGGCTGCTGTGTGTCGCTGGCCTGGGAAGGATGATGGGGCAGTCTTCAATGAGGGGGAGGAAATCTAGCTTCCAGACCTTTTCATTCTCAGGGAGGGTACCCTGGGGAAGGTTCTGGTGGGTAGAGGAGCTGCGGTGGTAATTATCCACAGAACGAAGATAATAAATGATTTAAAAAGCAAACTCTGGCCCATATCCACCTCATCTGTGCCCCACCCGGGTATGCTGAGAAGAAACAACCTTGACCAGATTTTCGATCTGATCCCATTCAGTTGGCACAGAACAGATCAAAAGGAGATCTTTTGGGGGCTGGGGATTTAGCTCAGCGGCATAAGCACCTGCCTTGCAAGCAGGCAGTTGTGAGTTCGATCCCCGGTACCGATAAAAAGGAAAAGACCAAAAAAAAAAAAAAAAAAAAATGGAGATCTTTCATTGGAAGGTATATGCTTCTTGCAAGACACATCTGTAGGTTTATGTGTAAGAGCTTGTCTTCTCGTTCATTTCTTAAGCAGACAGCTCAGCCTGCTGAGGATGGGGGAAGTTTTTCATCTGCATGTTGCTGCACAATAACAGATATTTATTATGCAGATTCTGCTCCTTATTCTTGCTGTAAGAACTTGGGAAAACTAGAGAATGTATCAGGTGCAGTGATCTTACTCTGGGAAGGATGCTATTTATAAGTCTGTGATTAAGAGTGCTGTCACTTCATTAGCTAGGTATTAAAATAATGTAAAGACGACAAATGTCTTTTATGGGGGGTGGTCTACCGCTTACAATCCATTAAGCAAATTGGGATAGATCTGGCTGCAGTGGCACCAGAGGTTACTTCCTCCACCCTTTCGTTCCCACCAGCAAGGCTGCAGTTTTTGGACAGCCACATTTCCTCCCTGGTCCTCTTTGCCAATGCCCTTGTCCAACCTGTTTTTAGAAACACTTCTGTCTCTGCTGCTGAAGAATTCCAGTCTATACTCATTAAAGAAAGGAAGAAAGCTTTTCTGGTTCCTACCAGTTGGCATGGTGGAATTATGTCACTTTCTATTTAACTGAGTTATGAACAATATCATCATCGCCTTAAAAAAAAGTAAACTTAGGGCCGGGGGTTTAGCTCAGTGGGCATAAGTGCCTGCTTGGCAAATGTGAGGTCGTGAGGTCAATCCTTGGCACCAGAAAAAAAAAAAAGTAAATTTGAGCAACAAAGTTCAAAGCATTGTTTCACAAAAATATATTTCTGGAGCTTAGATACCAATGACAAAGGTGTTTTGTTTTGTTTTGTTTTTGGCCTTGCACATGCTAGATAAGCACTCTACCCTCAGCCCCCAAATCATATATTTTTAAACAGGGAAACAAACATTGACTCAATTCTGAATGGTATCTTATTTTAGAAAATACCAGACTTTTAAATTTCTTTTAAAGATAATTATAATGAAGATATCATTTATTGCTGTTATGTCCTTGTCGGGGTCTGTGGATTATCAGAGATGTGCTGGGCCTGGTGGTAGCTCTGTGTGACCACTGACTGGACAGAGACAAGGATTCTGATGTCTTTCAGTGACAAAGTGACTGTGCCTGTGTGTCAGTGATGCCCATGAGGATGACAAGGTGCCATTCCTTAGTAACATGTGCACTTAGAAAGCTCTTTGTCACAATTTGGGCATGAGCTGTGATTAAGCAGTGTGGAGTCTCTTCAAGGAATTTTTTTCTTAAAAACGAGGAGCCACTGATCTCTTTGCTTATTTCTCTGATCTCAGAGTCTGAAAATCTCCTAAGCTCTCAAAGCCTGGAGGTATAGCGCTTTTGCTGCCTGGAGGAGTTTTGTTTTTCTATTTTAATTCCGGCTGTAGTTGAGCCATCTCTTTCCAGGGCCAGCGTGGCATGCTGCATGGACCACTGCTTTGGCTAACTCAAATGCTGCTCTTTTCTGTGCTCTGCCTCACTGCCCCCTTTGTCCTGGGGAAAAAGGCATCGCTGTATCCATGTTCCTTCTGCATATTCCCTATTCTGTCATACTCCATTAGCAAAGACTCCTTCTTCTGTGAAGCTCTTGCGGATCACTAGCTCCCTAATCCTCCCCCACCACATCTGCCTGGTCACTTAATTTTCTCCTCCTTGCAAAACAGCTGTGAGCTTAGACTAACATGATTCTCAACATGTGGAATGCCAGATTCTTGATGCTGAAGAAATGTCCATGAGGCCTCAACCTTCCCTTGCCTTGAAGAGAGACACCCCCTGAGCCAGCTCATATGAGTTGGCTCTTAAGCTCTTAACAGTAGTCAGTCAGTATTTATTGAACTCCTGACATTGCTAACAAATACTCTAGGCACTGGGAGGCATTGTAGAAATGAGACAGTGAAGTTTCTCTATATGGTTTATATTCTAATGTATAGAAATGGTGGGAATGGGAGTGGGAGATTGAAAGTGTGTATATGCCATGAGAGGTAAGACAGCCAGAAAAAAGAAAAACAACCAAGGAGAAGTAAGCCTGATTGTGCACACAGCCTAATTACAGCAATTGGCTGGAGTCCGGGAATTTGAAGGTGGTGCTACATGCAGTTCCAATCACTTAACACTACGCTCAGCCTTTCCACCTTTCTGTCTTTTGAGAAGGGGTTAGTGGTGATTTTTGGTGATTAATGTCAATATTTTATTGCCTGGTTAGTGTTAAGAGTCTCATGTGCTACTGACTGAACTAGCTGGGCATTTGCTGCCTTGTTAGTGTTAAACCTAATGGTGGTCAATTACAATGTAATTGGCAGAGTCTGACCATCCCAGATAGGTTATTTGTGATCCTTTGGGTGACAGATACACAAATCAGGGAACAGTTTAAAGAACTAGAGCACTGGGTAAAGCACAATTCACTGTAGTAGTGATAACCTAACTTCAGAATTATTATACCCCATCTTACAGCCCCAGGAGTTCAGAGTCAGAATGGGAAAGTTATAAAAAGTCAACTCTGTGTTTTTAACCCAGTGGACAAGGCACCCTGCCTGGAAAACTTTGATAGCCAAAAGTTGTGTTTTTTTTTTTTCATTATGCAGCTCAGTGTTCAGGCTGGCCTTGAGCTAACTTTGTAGCCCAGGCTGGTCTCAAACTCATAATGATCCTCCTACCACAGCCTCCAGAGTGCTGGGATTATAGATGTCCACCACCATGGCTGGCAAGCCAAAGGTTTTAAATGGTATCCCATTCATGTTTCATATTGGATGAGACCTGGCTAGCAGGGACTTGTGCTCAGATTTCCTGTTGATAACTCAGGTCAACAAAAATACTGTAGCTGGGAAGCCTTATTTATTTTGTTGCATCGGGAGTTATGGGTTTTTACTGTATGTCTAAGAACTATTGGTTTCTTTTAATAGAACTTCTTGGTGTGTTGTTGGCCATTGATAGAGTATTGTGGCTCAAGAGAGAAGCAGAAGTATAAAATGAACAGTTTTACTGAGTTGAGGACTGTGGAAAGGAGCACACAACTCATGGCGGCTGGGCTGTCTCCTTCAACTGGAATATGGGATATGTGTAACCTTGACTAGGGGTGATGCTTAGGGCAGGAAGAGCTGATTGGAATTTTCTTCTCTTACACTGGGAAAGGAAAAAGGCAGTTGTAATAGGGGAAGGAGGAAGTGACCTCAGGGTAAACATCCCTGATTTGGCCTTCCAGCACCATAATGTCTTGTCATTTATTCTAGGGCAAAACTCTTTCAGCCATCTCATTATAAGTCAGGAGTGGTATCATGTACCAGACTGCAGTGAGTTCTCCAATGATTTGGTAATGGAGCTTGAGCCAGTGTCAGTGTGACAGCCTTTGTATTGGACAGCTGAGATCAGACTCACTAAAGGGGGTGAGACCGTTTTATCACATGAAAGTGTGCCTGTGCCCCAGGGTGGACAAATTTTAACACAGAAAGAGGGATTGGAATACAAAATAACCTTAGCTTAGTGTCTTAATTAGGATTTCTGTGTGGCTGCCTTACAAGACCAAAATAACTGCGAGTAAAAAGATAATAAGCATTTTTTTTTCCTTATACTTCAGTCCACAGAAGAAGGCTTTTGGCTGTTAGAGTGGTTTATGCTCCCTCCACCTCATTGCTTTGCTGCTGCTGTTTGGTTCTTTTGTCAGCATGGGCTGCAGATGGCTTATCTAGCCCACACTCCAGGCCTCAAGGTGAAAAGAGGGAGTGAGTCACGGAAATTATACAATCACGTCTACTCACATCCTATTGTCTAGAGGCTAGTCATGTAATCCCAGCTAGCTGCAAGGGATATTGGGAAATGCTGCCTTTACAGTGAATTATGTGACAAGTTGAAACTCTGTTATTAGAAAGTAAAAAGGAAATGAAGAAGGAGAACCTAGCAATCGTTCCTTAACTAGGACATACAGGAACTGATTAATATCTCTTTATCAAACTTTCTTTCAGGCTCTCTTTGACAAAATCAGGCAAGTCCTTAAATGCTACTACTCTGTGTTGTCACTTAACTTTTTTTAAAATTTAAGCACCTACTTGTTCTGCTTTTATAGTATCACTTCAGAGAGCTTATAGTTTAGTAGAAAAGATGTACAACAAAAAAGTAAAAGAACGAATAACTACTTATGTCCAGTCGGTGGTAAGTTTTATACAGGAAGCAGACTGTTGTGGCAGAAAGTAATGTGAGAGGGACCACCTTCCTTTTCTGTGGGGTCTGGATGTGAAGAAGCAGTGAGAAGAGGTGGTATTGGAACAGAGACTGGGGGGGAATAAAGTGACCATGTGCTGAGGTGGGGCTGGAGAAGCATATCACCCACAGTGGATAGCATTTAGATGGGAAAGTACTTGGTGCCTTTGGCACTGCGTTGGCAACACAGTAGGGTGTAGGTGACGGTGCAGGGTGCAGGAGGAGATGGAGAAGCAGAAAATAGCATGATTCTATATGTTTTCTAAAGTTCTTTCTTACTGCTGAGTGGAAAATGGATCGGAAGGCAGCAGGAATAGAAGTCAAGAGGTAAGGAGCATTTCTTAGAGCTATGTGCAAAGGACAGTGGCCTCTTCGGAGTGGTTTCACTGGAAATGGGGAAATTGCTGGATAATGTGTAAATTATCTTGAGGATTTTCTTCACAGTGGCTTAAAAGTAGTTTTCCAGTCATGACTTTCAGAGTATAAACATGTTATTTAACACCCTTTTTCCCTTAAGAAATGTTCAAAGTTCAGAGGTAACGACTGAGATTAAAATCTACAGTGCCTAGTTTATTAGTGAACTTCGGCCGGGGAGTGGATATGAAAGATGAGCAAAGCCTAACTCCCAGAAAAAAAAATACAAAGTCATGTGTTTTCTCTATATTTATTGGTTAAAGCATTGGAAATGGAGTAAATTTGTTTTTACTCACTCTTATTGAATCTAAAAGGAAAAACAGAGATTCAGAACCTGCTTCTCAGATCAAACACTAAAACCATAATATTCAGTGCTCAAGAAAGGGGAGGATTAAGATTTCTCTTCTTAACAGCTATTTATATTTCTGAGCGAGCATTTTTTTCTTTTTCCTTTGTCCTATTAGGCCAAAGTACATACTGACTTTACATGTACAGCCCCAAGGTCTTCCCATTGGTGGTGAAGAAGAAATGTAAGGCAATTCCCAGTCTCTAGAAGTTTGAATCTATCTAGGAGGATGAATGATTATGACTAATGAAAATTGTTGACTCACTGAGTAGGTTTAAAACTGATTCTGATGACTCATTTTTACTATGATTTCAAAACTAGTGCATCCTTTCCTAAATTAGCAGGAAAATTTTGGTATTCTCCAGAGATACTGTTCTATTTGTGAGATACTTGTGAATCATGTCTCCAGGTGAATCACAAATGGTGTATTGTGAGCAGAGACTGGCAGCACACCTATGTAAAAGTATCTGTGCCTGTAGGAAAGGATGATTTCCTCAAGGAAATTACGAGGTGCTCACCAAGCCTTTGCATTTCATATTTCCCATCAGATGTTTTTAACAGGATCTCAAAAGGTCATCTCTCTCTTTCTCTCTTTGCTTTCAGACTGGAGTGTGCCCTCAACTGGATCAGTTGACAGGTTGGTAAAATTCTTTCTTACCTCTTTTTTTTTTTTTTTTTGTCTTTTTGAGACAAGGTCTCACTATGCAGTTCAGGCTGGTCTTGAGCTCACTTTGTAGCCCAGGCTGGTCTTGAACTCGCAATGATCCTCCCGCCTCAGCCTCCTGAGTGCTGGGATTATAGGCGTGAGCCTCCATGCCCAGCTCAAATTCTTTCATATCTCTTCAGAGATTTCAAATCTCTTGGCTCCTGTTTATATTTTTCTAAAAGTCATTGCGCCCAGGAAGCTTTTTCTTTTACCTGATGTTGGCCTTTTCCATTGTGGCCACTCGAGACAATAGTGTTGGAAAGCCACACATTTTCATGTGTGTGATGCCTGTCAGCAGTGGTCGTCACCTCCATGATGTGTTTACTCTGCCTCCCTTCATCTTCCTAGAGCACCTTTTCCTTACCATAGAAGAGAGTACGAGGCTTGCGACTTACCTTTTCACTGCACTCTTTGGCATTTATCTGAACATCTTTGCAGTTTTTAGAAGAAACGGAGGAGGTACAGCACATGAACTCTGCCCCAGCTCTTCTAACCTGCTCACTCTCGGCTCTTGGTTTGAAAACTCACACTGCATATCAAGACCAGGCATGGAGACTACAGAGGAAAGCAGAAACTAAGCAGGAAAACACTGTAGGTTACAGTGTAACCTCCGAGGCTGTAATACTTGTATCCTCAAGGTAGGTATAAAATAGTTTGCTCAAGGAGGCATCTAGTGCTGGGGATTTAGCTCAGTGGCTTAAGTGCCTGCCTGGCCTGGTACCAAAAAAACAAAACAAAGAAGGTATCCATACCATGGGATTACCTGACTCTTCATTTTGCTAGAGGAATTAGACCAGAAAAAGTAGGGAGCTCGATCTTTCTCAGATGGGAAAGAGTATCAAGAGATGAAGGGAGAGGAAGGGAATGACAGAAGAATTAAGGAGTGTTATGTACAGGTACCAAGTCCATCCAAGGCATGTAATCATGATATATTATAAACATATGCTAATAAAAAACAAACAAACAAAAAAGAATCAGAGCATCTCAGTCTTCTCAAACTAGTTTATCTGTCTTGGTTTAAAAATTTCAAACTACAATTAAGATTCCTTAATTTTTCCCTAGAAATGCAATATTAATCCAGGACATTGTTTTGTAAGCACAAACTGTACTGAGAACACAGTACCTTCTTTGAAAGACATAAGAACTTAGAGATAACTCTGTACCAAGGCAAAGGCAGGTGATGAGAGGGTAGCGAAACCTGCCAATTTCTTCCTGAATAGGTCTCCTATGAGAATTGTCACTAAGTGTCTAATTTATTTCAGGTGCTGGGCTAAGTGCTAGGGTACAAAGTTGATTAAAACTCAACAGCCTGCCTTTCCAGTGGAGAATCACATGAGAAATCACTAACTAGAGGACAGAGGAAGCACTGGATGGAGGGCAAGGGACAGCTGTTTGCTCAGCAGGTTGAGGTCATTGTTCTTTTGGGTATAAAATGCATCCACATTTCAGAAACATTGACATGACAAAAAGGGCGTGTTTTGGCATTTGAGAAATATAATTTAGAGTCTTCCCTGTTACATGGTAATAGCAAAAGATGCATAATTTTCACTCACGGGAAGTACTTCAAACTGAATAACATTTAGAGCTTAGTTTAATGAATCTGCTCACCCTCTGTCTCCATCCCAGTTAAGCCCACTGGGCCAGTCCACCTAAATACTGGAACCGTTGAATATAAATTAGAGAAGAAACTATACTCCTGAGAATAAAGGGACACCAAGTGGTGTACTTGTGGTATTGACAGAAAGGGTATATTAAGATCTGAGGGATTTGGGAAAAGGTAACAAAAGTAACAGAAAGCCAGGAATCTGGAGTTGGGAATATTCAGCTTTGGGGAATCCAGGGTGCAAGGTTGTGAGTGGAATCTAGCAATTCTCAATGAAAACTGGAACTACTTTGATAAACAGTTTGACAAATTTTGTATCAGGAGACGTGGTCAATGTAATTCATTTACTGTTATTCAGTGTCATGCCAGTAATATCATATAGTGACAGAACTGTTTGCCTTTTTCACCCAGATTTTTTTCTTTTCTTTTCTTTTTTTTTTCTTTTTTTTTTTTTTTTTTGCAGTACCAGGGATTGACTCACAGCCTCGAGCTTCCCAGGCAAGCGCTTATGCCACTGAGCTAAATCCCAGCCTCTCCACCCAGATTTTTCAAATTGTTTTATTTATTTAAATTTTTTTGAAGTTGGGCGTGGTGGCCCATGCCTGTAATCCCAGCACTTGGGAGGCTGAGGCAGGAGAGTCATTGCAAATTTGAGATCAGCTTTGGCTACAAAGTGAACTCAAGACCAGCCTGAACTGCATAGAGACGTTCTGTCTCAAAAGACAAAAAACAAATTTTTTTTTTTTTCCTGAGGCAGAATCCCTATATAGTGCAAGCTGGCCTTGTACTCACTTAAGTAGCCCAGGCTGGCCTCAAATTCATGGCAATCTTCCTGCCTCAGCCTCCTGAGTGCTGGGGTTACAAATGTGTGCCACCACATCTGGCTCTGCCAAGTTTAAAACTGAGATTTAAACAAAACAAAACAAAAAAAGCTTGAGAATATTCTGCTAAGAAGTGAGGAAGTGAGAGAAAGAATATCATTATTTTTTGGCCCCTTAATGAATTAGTGAGTATAACCTCACCAGACACCAGGTATCCTTTGATGGGAGAATCCAACACCATCCATAAAATTGTCTTACCAGAACAACCACCAACCAACCAAAAACTCCAGGCAGAATCTGGTCACGTTTCTTTATTTAGCTACCAATTTATAAGACCAATATGGATGAGAGGTGCACACTCTGGGAATACCACCAGCACAAGGATATGTAGGATCAATAATCTGCTTTCTTCAACAGGTAAGTCACAAGGAAAAAAAAAATCAGAAGGCAGACATATAGACATGCACCACCCAGTGTAATAGCCAGTAGCTTCATACCTCTGAAACAGTCACAATTCAATACAATTAAAAATGCTGTTCCTCAGTTGCACCAGCCTCAATGGCAGGAAGTGCCATTGGACAGCATGGCTGTAGCACAAAAGGTGTGCCATCTGCTCAAGTTCTGAAGACCTTATTTGGATCCACTGTTAAGCAAAATCTCCTACAAGTGTTAAACTAGCAGGATATGTTGAGCCAACTGGATAGCTGATGCTATTAAAGAATTATTTTTTAAAATGATAGAATTTTGATAATGCTATTGTGACTTTTTAAAAAAGGAAATCCTAACAGGGAAGAGATGCATATTGAAACAAGTGAAATAAAATGGCCTATGTCTGCAATTTGCTTCTAAATAGTAGGAGATGAAAACACAATTGACTTTGAATATTTTTATTATTGTTGAAAATAGGCAATAGTACAAGGAAGATTAAAACAATTCTTTCTTTTACCTAAATTTGTCACTTTCCATAACAAGGCTTTATTCTTATACATGTTTGAAATTTTCTGTAATATCATATCTGGGTTTTGTGTGTGTGTGTGTGTGTGTGTGTGTGTGTGTGTGTGTGTGTGTATTTGGGTACTGGGGATCGAACTCACAAACTTATGCTTGCCAGGGAAGATGCTTACACTGCTAAGCGAAACCCCTGGCTGTTTTGTTTGTTTTATAAGACACATATGAATCACTGGCAGTCTAGATAAGACAGCTAGATATTTACTAATTTATATCTCTTTAACAGCAGCAATCAGCACAGCCCTCTGAAGGGCTTCAGCTCAGCGGTGGGCTGTAGCTTCCTGGGAGGTCTGCTGGATTTAAGAATTAGATCTCCTCAGTCCTCTTTATTTTCTTTAAGTTTCTTCATTTTCTTTAAGCAACTTGGGTTAAAATTTCAAACTCAGATAAGTTTTCTTATGTCATTTTTATAAAATCAATATTAGCCCATTTGTTTCATAGATGTAAACACTGCACTAAGAACACAGTGTCTTCTCTCAAAGATGTTACATAGATTCTCACTCTTGCCTCTCTACCTGGAGAACAAGAAGAGAAGGAGTGTCAAGAGTGACAGTGAATCCTCTCTATTGCTGTCTCAGCATGTGATAGCACAGATTCCCTGCAACTTTCTGAGGTCTTAGATCAACAACAAACCAGGAGATGAATTTCTTTTACAGAATAGCAAGGTGGATGCAGTTGCAGTTGTAACATCTTCAAATGGCTTGCTCAAGGTTGCTTTCCTTCATTTGCGTATAGGTGTAATGTGTGGCTTGATAGCCAGGAGGTCTCAATGCTGATCCCACCATCTGTGTCCATCTGTCAGGGGAGTTAGATTGGTTTTAACTCTCTCTTGCCTGAAGTCTTCCTCACCTACTTTCTTAACTCTTAATCCCCCAATATGACTGATGGAGTTTTTGTAATATTATACATTGGTAAAAATGCCAGTATTTAATGCAAATAAAATTTTATTCACAATGTATTTGTGGAAGAGAAAATTTCTAGTGGGTTCCCAAAATAAAGTGTTAAGAGAAGTAAAGGGAGAGGAAGGGTTCTGCTAAGCTGAGGATGATCTCCCAAGTCTCTTTCCATGTCACCCCATTCACTCTGTGTTGATGATTTTGCTTTCCTATCCTTCAGCAAGGTCAGGACATCTTTGCCTAGCTCACTCTAGCAAGAAGCAGTGTGATGTATGGATCGTGAGCTTTCTCAAGCAAGTTAGACTCTATAAAGCACAGGGAGGCGCCAGGACTGGGATGGAAGAACTGGTACCAGTGGAAGGCCAGGGCCAGCTCCCAAGCCCCCACCTGGGCTCTCTAAGGAGGGCCGTAGCTGCTGCCCTGGCCCTGGATGGGGAATCCACCATGGGTCGCAAGAAAAAGAAGAAAGAGTCCCGCCCAGAATCCATTATTGTCTATCGGTCTGACAATGAGAACATGGATGAGGAGCCTGAGGAATCAGAAGGTGGAGATCAGCCTAAAGAGGAGGAGGGAGAGGATTTCCTAGACTATCCCATGGATGATGGTGAGTCTTTCCGGGACCCCTTTGAAACCATAGAAAGGAAACCAAAAGGGGACCCTCCCTTCAGGAGACAGACAAGGATCTGCTCGTTCATCTGTTTCTTAGTGATACGTTTCTCACATTGCTGTTGTCATTCAACAAACCCATAGTATACATTTAGCATCTAATGTGTTCTATTTTAGGTGATAGGGAGATCTAATCCTTTCAGAACTCCTAGAGTAATCAAAGAAACAGATTTCTACACAAAAAATTAGTAACAGGAACAGACCATGCTAATTATTTAATTGTAAAAAACCAAGAATTGTTGACTTTTATAACAAAAAAGGCAAATTATATTAACAATAACTGACAGTATTCCTTCAAATGCAAAATTGCCAAAAACTGAGTAAAAAATACCATTAATATGAGGAAATGGACATACTTTCATATACCTCAAAAGGAAATAGAAGCTGCTTCAGCCACTATGTAGGCACTTTATTAATATTTGTTAAAATTCAAAACCTGCATTCCTGAGTTTCAGAAATCCTCAGTACCCCTCCCCCCGGAAACTTATGCACATGTTCTGCATGTATAAGAGTGTTTGTTGTTTCTAGTGAAGAAGCTGTGAAGTGTCTACGAAGAATTACTGTGCAGCAATGGAGAGATGAGGTCGGCCCATGTGTATAGATAGATACATGTCTAAGACAAACTCAGTGAATAAGCAACATATTTGCTCTACTAGACTTGATGTTCTAGTCAGGAGAAGAACAACAGTGAAGGAGTCAACAAATAGAAGACAATTTCAGGTAGCACTATGAGTTCCAAAAACAATAAAACCATAGTAATTATTGGAAAGATGAGTATGGTAGGGGAGAGAGTCTGTGGTCATGGAAGGCCTCTGTAAAGTGGTGACTTTTAAGCTGTCCCAAATGACATGAAGAAACCAGTTAACACGGAAGGGGTTTGAAAATTAGGAACCACCAGCGGCAAAGGGCCTGCCTTGCAAGTGCGTGGTCGTGAGTTTGATCCCCAGTACCGGTAAAAAAAAACGAAAAAAAAAAAAAAAAAAAAACCAAGTAATTTTTGGGGCTGGGGATTTAGTTCAGTGGCATAAGCGCCTGCCTTGCAAGCACGTGGTCGTGAGTTCGATCCCTGGTACCAATAAAAAAAAAAATTAGGAATCACCACAGGCAAAAGCCTGGAGGGGGAGCAGCATTGGCCTTTCATGGGTGGGGTTGATTCTGGTAGGGAGTATAGGCAACAAGTGGAAGAATGATGACAGGATTAGAAATGGCAGTGGCAACTGGATGGTGGTTAGCCATGCAGGTCATAGTAAAGGTTTAGAATATTTATAAATGGCGAGGAAGCCAGCGGAAGACTCTATGCAGGAGAGACATGTTGTCTCATTGTATTTTAAAAAGCTCACTCTGGCTCCTCTATAAAGATTGGACTGTGAAGAGCAGAGTGGAAGCTGATGGGACACTGTTGTACCAGTGTAGCTGCAGTGGCACCCGTGTAGAAGCTTGGACTAAGGTGACAACAGAGAGCAGTTAGAGAAGAGAGGTGAGATTCCAAATGCACCATGGAACTTGATGAGTTGGAGGTAGGGAGGGAGAAAAAGAAAGGAACTGATAATGACCCTTACAGGAGCAATAGAGAGGACAGATAGTAGTGTTATAGGAGTCTGGGAAACCATTAAGTTTGGGGGAGCAGCAAGCCCTTCTATCTGGTAGTCAGAGCCCCTGTTCCTGTCCTGGGCCTTGCTTATGGTCTTTGATCCAGCCCTGGGGCCAGGGTCTTCCAGGGTCTTCCTCAACCAGGCTTGAGGTTGTGCCTTCCTAAGCCTGTAGTCTGTCCCTGGCCTGAGACCTCTAGACTGTATATTACGTATCCAGCATCACAGACTTCCCTGCCTTAGTATCTCCAGCTCCTCTTTCAGGGTAGCCACTGGATGGCCATCTGCTGTTGTGTATGTTTGTGGCATGGGTATGAATGTGAAGTATATATGTGAGGTGTTTATAGTATGCACGGCATGTGAATGTGGTATGTGGGGACATATTTGGGGTGTGTGTATATGTGTTGTGTATATCCATGATATGTATTATGTATCGTGTTTCTGCATGATACGTTGTGAGTGTGATGTTGGTGCAGTGTTTGTGGAGTGCATGGGGAGTTTGTGTGTGGTATGTAAGTATACAGTGTGTGTGGTATGGGTATCTATCTGTATGTGTTGTGTGTGTGGGAGGGTATAGGTGGTGTAGTGTATGCGAAGTTGTGTGTAGTATGTGTGTACATTGTGTGTGTGTGTGTGGTGTGGATGTGTGTGTCTACAAGGGGTGATCAAATTTTGTTACAGTAAAAGACATTGACCAGCCTTACAGTACTCCCCATCATTGTGGACATGTGCATCCCACTGTTCTTGCCACTTTCTGAAGCACTTCTGGAAGTCTTTTTTTGTCTGTGAGATGTGATTAAAAATGGGTAAATGCTGCTGCCCAGTGCCATCCAAGGGAGGCTCATAAAAACGTGCCAGTGTGTCCTTATTTGCCTTCTTCACCAGATTTGGCATCATGGTTCCTCCCCAAAGTTAAAATGAACACACGAGGTAAACATTTTGAGTCAGTTCAGGACATTGTCCCAGCTATGACAGCACAACTAAAGACACTCATGAAAAAGGACTTCTAGAACTGCTGCAGCAAGTGGCAAGAAGAAAAAGAAGCAACAAACAAACAAAGAGAAAGTGGCAAGAATGATAGAATAAGTATATTCGAAGCAAAGGGGATTAATAGAAATGTGTCTTTTACTGTAATAAAAAAACCTAAACATTCCCCATATTTTTCAGTCACACCTCATGTTCTGGTTGTGATGTGTGTGTGTGTGTGTGACAGAGAGAGAGAACTGTAGGTAGTACAGTAGAGGGTATGTTATGTGTATGTGGTGGTGTGGATAGGGGCATGTATGAGGGGTCAGGTGAGTGGGATGTGGGGGTGACTAAGGGTACAGAGCTTGGACATGAGGGTCATGACATCAACAGGTCTACAAGAAGCCTCCTCTCAGCAAAGACGTAGAATGCACATGCCAGCCAAATGCACACAAATGCAATTTTTACACACAGATTGACACTCATAAACAATATGTTCTCAGCACTTGTTAACTAATATAGGATCGTTATAAAGTAGGGTCTGTGGCAAAGTTCTTCACCCCTCCATGTCACAGAGATCATGCCAAGAGTGATAGCCCCCAAAATGGAGAGTGAACAAGAAAAATAAGAAAAGACTGTCTCACAGTCTTATCAGGGTCTAGACCTGTAGAGTGAGGAGACCTATTAATTGGTCCACCACTGAGTCACTGATTCCAACCACTGCTATGCCAGATGCCATAAAAAAAGACAGTCCCATGCTCAGCCCCAGCCTCAGGCAATGACAGTATACTAAAATGTTCCCTCTTCAGATAATGAGCTCAGCTCCTTTGTGCCCCACAGATATGTGGAACATGCCTTCCGACAGCCGCTATGTCACATTAACTGGGACCATCACACGAGGGAAGAAAAAGGGGCAGATGGTGGACATTCATGTCACATTGACAGAGAAGGAGCTGCAGGAACTGACCAAGCCCCAAGAGTCATCACGAGAAACGGCACCTGAAGGAGGAAAAGCCTGCCAGGTGGGAGCAGACCAGGGGCCACATGTGGTCCTCTGGACGCTGGTCTGCCTGCCTGTAGTTTTCATCCTCTCTTTCATTGTCTCTTTCTACTACGGTACTATCACTTGGTACAACATCTTCCTTGTGTACAATGAGGAAAGGACCTTCTGGCACAAGGTCTCCTGCTGCCCCTGTCTCGTTCTCTTCTATCCAGTGCTCATCATGGCTATGGCCTCTTCCTTGGGCCTCTATGCTGCTGTGGTCCAGCTCTCGTGGTCCTGGGGAGCATGGTGGCAAGCTGCTCGGGACATGGAGAAAGGCTTCTGTGGCTGGCTCTGCAGCAAGCTGGGTCTAGAGGATTGTTCTCCATATAGCATTGTGGAGCTGCTTGAATCTGACAATATCTCAGGCAATCTCTCCAATAAGGATCCCACCCAGGAAGTAGAAACCTCTACTGTCTAAACTGCCAACAATTTTCTTTTTCTCTGGCCTCAGTAACCTACATGTTTCCTGATATTTCCAGCAATTTTAAGTCATCCCCTAGTCACTTAGAGTTGTGGAAAAATGCTGGCCCATGCTGACCTGTCTTACCATCCTGATGGTTCCAGGAAGGCAGGGAATAGAAAAGTCATGCCAAAGCAATTCATCCAATATGCAAACTTTTTGACTTGTGGTCCTAAAATGGTCATTTACCTGTGGCAGGGAGATCCACTGCATATGACTTTGGGATCTTGGTGGTATTACTGGTAGCTGTAACTCAAGGAAGTGTGAGACCAAATGTGATGGAGGAATGTAACAAAGAGGGTCAGGAATGACCTTGTAAGCAAATACATACACATGGAGTGAAACATTCTGGCGGGTGGGTTGTGGAGGTTTGAGTTGTAAGAGAAAGTAAAGATTTGTATGCATCACTTAGATTTAGATTGAACTGCATAAAATTAAATCCCCAAACATCAGTGGTTTTAAATGAGATAGGAGTTTCTTTCTTGTATGGAAATCTGGAAGCACACCCACAAAGATCCCTGTGTAGTCATTGGGTCCATGTCTTACCATTAGTAGGAAGTGGCCCTTATTGTCTATAACTTCAGTGTTCCAATGGTGACTGCCTCTTGAGCCATCATGGCCATATTTCTGGAAAAACAGAAGAGAAAGAAGTATACACACTTCCTGTTTAGGGAGACTTCCCAGAAGTCCCTTCTCCACATTTCTTAACTTTCATTAGCCAGACCTTAGTCACATGACCTTGCAATGGAAACGTAATCTTTTATCTGTGTAGCTATATTCTTAGCTTACTTTTGAGCTTTTGCTAAATTGAGAGAAAAGGACGGAATGGCTATTTTGGTAGGTAAGTAGGAATCTCTGCTTTAAAATAACTTTTTTTTTTTTTTGGTCTTTTTTCATTTTTATGGGTACCAGAGATCGAACTCACGACTGCCTGCTTGCAAGGCAGGTGCTTATGCCGCTGAGCTAAATCCCCAGCCCCTAAAATAACTTTTAATAGGTCTCAAATCCCAAACTGCTAGTATAGTTTGTTTGACTTATTTATTTATTTATTCATTCAGGCTTTTTTATTCTGGCCTGAATGTTATGCAGAGAATTTATATGTAGATATCAGCTACATGCACTACATATATATGCAGTATACATAGATATTAGCATCTCATGTACCGGGTATTAAACTTCTGTAATGTCATGTGGTTCCTTTGGAAAGAAATAGAGGATACTACAATTACATGGTGGTAGAATAACTCTTCTTCCTGATGGTGGGGGTTGAACAGGGGTTGGTGATAATCTAATCTATAGATTAAAGACTCAGAGGGGAAAATAGGAATTGCATTCGCCAAATACACCCCCAGCAGGTATCAGCTGCTCTAAGCGTGAACAAGCCAGATTTAGCCTTTGGCACAACCTCACTCAAAGCCTTACTCAGACCATTTTAGTGTAACAACAAAATAGTTCTCTTGCCTCCTGGGATTAACTCAGATTAAACAATTCTGATTTTTAACAAATATAGGCGTGTCCTAATTTCAAAATATAAAATCGTAAGAAGACAGATTTTGGAGTCTTCCTTGCAAGAAAATCTGGTGCTTATTATTGTTCATTCCTCAGAAAGAAGCTGTTGAAAAGAGCTGCTGTGAATGAAACCAAAGGGGCCATCATCATGTCCCTGCAGGAAACCAGGAACATTTGCTTAATGTATGGTGCTCTACTCCACCTTCAAAGGAATCATATTTTTAAATTAACTGTTATTAGTTTGACCAGAGGGGGGAAAATGTGCTCAGCATTTTTGAAGATAACTTTGGTGCTTTCTGGTACAACTGCAGACATAAATAATTGAAGTGAAGATAAACAGAATAAAAAATCTAATTAACAATTGTTTGATTTATCATTGAGGTTCTCCAAACTAGTTTTGAATGCTACAGTTTGTAGAAAAAGGGTAAGCTAGTGGCCATTCTATATGTAACTAACATATGTAATGATGTTAATACAGACCCTTAAGAATTGATTCTTTAAATGTACCACTAAGTTTTAGGAGTTCTATTTTAGAACTCCCACATTAAAGTCACATTTTTGTCTAAGCCTGCATTAAACACAGTCACATTTGTCACATTTTTCTGTCATACTGAATTGGGGAACCAATAGAAAAGACAACAATCATGATTAGGAATAGGGGAAGGTGGACTTAGTGGAATAGAGGGATGGAGGTGAAACCATGCCCCGAGGATATCTTCCCTAGTTAGACTCATCACATAATGGAAGAGAGAGGTTTACAAACTAAAATCACTTGACAAGGGCTCTAGAGAGGTGTGTCAATGCCTAGTCTAAAGGAATTAAAACAACCACTGCTGGGTGTGGTGGTATAATCCCAGCACTCAGGAGACTGAGGCAGAAGGACTGCCATGAGGCTGAGGACAGCCTGGGCTACATACGAAAGTTCAAGGCCAGCCTGCACATAGGGAGACTGTCTCAACAAACAAACAAACAAACAAAACAAGCAAACAAACAAAACTGAGCCCAACAGAACTGGTACAATGTAGTCTTTGTTCCCAGTAAACACCTAGAGAACATTAGAGAAGAAATTAAAGTCAGATACCATATATGAGTAATTCTATTAGTTCATAGTTAATCTTCACAGAAATATTGAGGAGGAGGAGGGAGAGAAGAAGGATATTTTTAATTAATTGCTTAGCAGGCATAATATGCAGAGCTGGATAAATGACATGTGACCCAGTATGGTGATACTGACACTTCAAAGTCATCTGGTCTTCTGGCATTAGGTAACCAATGCAATTCATGGCTGAGGGGGGATGAACCCTTGTTCATAAGAAGCAAGCTTCTAATTCCTAAAAAGAACTAAGTTCAGATACTTTGTAAGTATTGTTTCACTATTTTGAACTGGCTACCCAGAGCTTAATTTTTGCAGTATTAAAAATATTAGTGGTACAGCCGGGTATGGTGGCTCATGCCTGTAATCCCAGCACTTGGGAGGCTGAGGCAGGAGGATCGTTGCAAGTTCGAGACCAGCCTGGGCTACAAAGTGAGCTCAAGGCCAGCCTGAACTGCATAGTGAGACCCTGTCTCAAAATGACAAAAAAAAAAAAAAAAAAAAAAAGATATTAGTGGTAGGCTGGGGATTTAGCTCAGCAGCATAAGTGCCCTGCCTGGCAAGCACAAGGTTGTGAGTTCAATCCCTAAATAAATAAATAAATAAATAATAGTGGTTAACATCAAACAGTTTTTCTTCTCATCAATTAATTACTAACATGAACCTTGTTACATGGATTTTATACATGGTATATGATGGAACTGGTAGAACATAGAACCATTACGTGTCACATCTGTTTAGGATATAAACTTTTATTTCCTATCTATACTGTTAAGATTTTAACCAACTGTCCCAATTTTCCATGTAGCCATTGTTTCAGCTCTGTTGGAATACAAAGGCTGTACATCTTTGTTTTGTATCCTGTTCATGAAGTCAAAGTCATCACTCAAATAGTTCACTCTCAAGATGATATCAAATTGAAACATTCCAGCAACTAAGGGAACACATAGTCTACAATACAGCAGTGGTTAAACAAACAAACAAACAAACAAAACCTTCTGTTGTCTCAATTGTCTATTGCTATTATAACACCTAGAATATAATGGCTTAAAATAACCAGATCCATTGGATTTCTCTGCTTGTAATTTTGCATTCTGAGGAGATGTCAGTGGAGATAACAGTCTCTGCTCAGTGTTTCTAACACTGGGATGGTTTCCTAAGGGCTAGAATATATACTCCTTAGACCAATGATGGTGAACCTTTTAGAGCTTTCAGTGATAACGAACAGCCCATTGTGGCATGTGTGTCATAGGTTTGCCTCCACTGCCCTAGAGAGTCTTATTGGCATGGCTTCTGGGTATATCTTGGGTGCCATGTGGGTGTACCCCTACAACTATTGTTGCTTAGTGCTTGCATTGGACCGCTCAGATTGCTATGAAAACCACAGACTAGGTGAAAGAAACTTATTTTCTCATAGTTCTAGAGGCTAGAAGTTCAAGATCATGGTACTGGCCTAGTTAGTTTCTGGTGAGAGCTGTCCTCTTGGGTTGCAGTTGGCTGCCTTTTTGCTAATGTTCATGTAACTTCTTTTGTTTGAATGAAGGAATGGGGAGAGGAGAGAGAAACATGCTGGAGTGGGGGCAAGAAAGAGAGAGCAAATTTTCTAGTGTCTCCTTTTATAAAGTGAAAGTACCACTATAAAGGTCTCTATTTTTTTTTTTTATAAAGGTCTCTATTCTTGTGCTTCATCCAAATCTAATCACCCCAAAAAACCCCGGCTTCAAATACCATCAAACTTGGGGTTAGGACTTCAACAAATGAATTTTGGCAAGATACAAATATTCAGTCCATAATAATGTTCCTCTGTGTAACTTTGTTAATATGACAGTCCTGGGCTGGGGATTTAGCTCAGTGGTACAAGTGCATGCCTGGCAAGTGCAAGGTCCTGAGTTGGATCTCCCGTACCACAAAAAAA